GGAATCTAAATACCATTGGACAAATGAGAAATCTGGGCAATAAGGACAAATTACTAAGAGGAAATGCCCAAAGAAAAAGAGTAATTTAGCCTAAGGGAATAGCACCCTTCCAACAGAATAAAATCTCTTAAGTCTTCCCAAATGTTTTTTCTATTGTTCTTTACAGATATATAAGGTAAGTGATCATTTTTGTAGCCTCAATTCAATTGAAACCTAAAGCTATCTTTTGGATGGCTCTCTTCTTTTCAAATCCAAGTGTGCATGTTAAAGGAAAATCCAAAATTTCTGTCTCATGTCAGAAGAGCCACATGGTGTGGGACAGAAAAAAAAAACAAAAATTAGGGACAATTCTATTGCCACAAACTCATAATCCTTTAGTTTTTTGACTCCTTAAGACTTTTCTTTAGATATAAATATTATCTCAAAATTTATTTAAACTGTTTGTCATGATATTAATGATCATATAGAATAGTACTAATCCTGGAAATAGGTTTCATCTAGCTTTCTATATGTAATTTTGGGCCTGAGTCTGAATCAGGTAACTAGGAAATAAGTTTGTATACCACACATGTATTTATTAGATTGTGGTCCTTAACCCCTCTGATATCTACTATATATGACATTTAAATTAAGTTTCCTTCAGTGAAACATGACCATTCCTAACAACAACTTTTAAAGTCTACAAAAGGATGTTGGGGCCTCACAATGATGAATCCACCTGGATTGTGGTAATGCCACTAAGCCGATGATCACCCCCAAAAGATCAGCTTTGTACTACAAACTGCTCAAGACAACGTCAAAGTAGTTAGTGAAAATGGTCCAGCCTTCTAGACTACTCCAATCAGGATTTCAGATAAGTCTTACATCTTCCCATCACATCAAGACTGGACAACAGCTAACTCTCCCAGAACTTGGTCTTTATTTCAATTTTTTCAGGACCCCCTAAAGATATTGTTGTATCCCAGACAACAGTAAGTAATTTTAAGAGCATGACACCTATATTCCCAAGAGATGGGGTGGCTGCTCTTTGGTCCTTCAGTGGATGTTTGTCATCACTTACGAAGGTTGGTTACATGTTGTTACTAGTCATGGTCAGGAAGAAAACTGAGCAAAGAAAATTAGATTCAGGTTTCTCATTCTGAAAAGAAAAAAGCAAATACGGAAAGTATAGGATTAAAAAGGACCAATCATTGCTTGTATTTTAAATTAAAAGCAACTATTAATCTCTAATATTTTACATTGGTATGGATTTTTGTATATTGATAGAAATTTAAGGTTATTTTGCTATACTATATATGTTTCTATTCTGTTTTAAGATATTTTTGTATATTGATATAAATATAAGGTTATTTTTGTTATACTTTGTATATTTTTCTATTCTTATTTAAGGTATTACACCTATGCAGCTCATTTAAAAGTACACTGTAAAGTTTCAGTACTTGAAAACTATTTAGGAAAATAAAGAAATACAGATTAATAGTCAGTCATTTATAAATATAAAATTTATAGTCATTTTAGGTGTGTTTTCAAGGTCATACAGAGATAAATTCTATATAAATAGCTGATCTTCAAACACTTCAAAGACCTACAGAATATGGCATTTTAAAAATGTTTTAACAACATAAGGCTTTTCTTGACAGTGAGCCATGATTGCTCCTGACAGCACCAATTAACTACAAAAAAAAATGATGTGTATTGAAGAACCTCCAATTGGAGTTTACTTTTTCAATGGCCAAAGTTAGCCATTTGGGCAGGAAACTGCCCCTGCCTCAACTACTGAAAGTATGCTACCCAAACTGGACCAGCAGGACACAAAAAAAGCAACTGCTGACTTTTGCCAAGACAGGATAGGACAGTCCTTCAAAAATTTCCTGCTTTACAGAAAAGTTTGTCAGATATTCTAGGCCTGTAGGCCAAAGATGGATGCCCCAAGGGCACAATGGAAACTTGAGTGACTGTCCAGGCAGTCAGCTGTTTCTCCCATTTCTTATAGTTTTGAAAGTTGCTTACTCTGTACTTCCTGTTTACTCAAGGTAATATTATATTCTTTTGATGGGGTTAAAAACTAGATAGTTATAGAGTTTTCCTTAGTCATGATAGAAAGTAATTTAGGCATAAAACTCGGAACTCATCAAAAGATGATAATTAGTGGAGTATTTTCTTGTATTTATAAAGAATACAAATGGACTAGACATTATGAATGTAATTCTTACTTGATAATTTTTCTTGTATATAGTTTCATTTTTTTTAAAGTTAATCTTTCCTTTCTGTTTAGACAATACCTGATAATTGTTCTTATTGTGTATAATTTTACTATGTTAGAGTTAAAACTCTTCCTTGTTATTTAGACAAAAATGGGGAAATGTTGGAGAATATGTTTTTATGCTGATTGTTCTGGGACCACCATGGAACTGATCTTGGTTCAATGGGTGAAGTCCACATTTAGCTGAAATGGGCCATCAAAGTTCTCTGGTTGATTAAGAGGAGAAAGAGAGGCACACAGGAAAGGAAGAGGCAGGGTCAAGGGGTTGCATGCTCTCTTGGATCCCAAAGTAGAGAGGGACGATTATGTTTCAGTTGTTCTGTAAATTTCTCAAGTTTATCCCTTAATATTTATCCTCAAGTTTTATTTTTTAATAAATACTAAAATTATCCAATATGCATAACATATGCAATAAGAATTAATGAAAAAATGAGAGTTCATGAATTTGAAATAGAGCAAGGAGAGGTATATTGGAGAATTTAGAGGGATGGAAGTGAAGGGGGAAATGATGTAATCGTACTATAATCTCAAAAAAGTAAAAGAATTTTTAAGAGTGCCAGTGACTCCCATGTACTTTATTATACAGCATAACTTTATTTACAGATGTGTTGTTGAATGAATTTATTAATTCTTTAACAGATGTGCATTGTAGGGCCACACAAAATCATCTTTGTTCAGATCTTATGTTGAAGATATTTTAAATCCAGTTGAATACATGACAGATAATTTTCAATTTGACATATGTGAAGACACCTGTGTCAATGAATTTTGTGGACTACCACTCTTTAACAAGAAAATTTTTGTACCTACAGAAATAAAATGGGAAGTTTAACAAGTAACTTCTTGGGCATGTCAAACTACAACATAATAAATCATAGGTTCTTATTTTATTCACCCATAAATTATTTAATACATTTATTTCTCATTACTTGCTTTCTCAAGACTGTTTAAAGAAGTATTATTCAAGGGACTATACCAAGCAAACCATTATTCTACTTGAGGTGAGTGCTTATTTACTCTCCATCTAATTGTGGGAAACAAGAGAAAGTAGGAAAAAGCAATCAGTTACTTGTGGAACTCTGTAATTTTGGAGATCCACGAGATTTCAGTGAAATAAATAATTGCCTGAGGTAAGAAGAAAAAATTTCAAACAACAATAAAAATAAAGATTGTCTATACAAAAAAGTAGCAGTTTAATAGAAATTAAGATATTGGTGAAGAATAATTATTACAATTTTTTCATGTTTAACATGAATGAATATGTTCAATAATACAAAATTTAAAAACTGGTGCCATTTAGAAGTCACTCACTACACTGTCATTCAAACGTGTTTATTGTTTATCATTAAATATGTTTCATGCTCTTATTTTTCAATGTACAGCTGTATGCACACAAGCTTTAAGAATATTTTAATATATTTAACATTTATTATTTGATGCAAATTTAATTTTAATTATATTAAATTTAGTGCTACATAAGGGAAATACTGTCATGTAACAATTATATAAGTTTCTATCCAATTATTTTGGAACTGTATGGTCCCAATCCCCAAAGGTTGTCCAAATCCCAATCCCTGGAATATTCTCATATGCTACATTGTGTGAGGAAAAAAAAAAAATGAGTGTTTCAGATGTAACTAAGATTAAAGTTTTGAAATATCCCTTCATTAAAATGTATTGAAAGTCAAGCTGGGCGGTGGTAGTACACACCTTTAATCCCAGCACTCAGGAGGCAGAACCAGGTGGATCTCTATGAGTTCAAGGCCAGCCTGGTCTACAGAGAAAGATCCAGGACAGACAACAAAACAACACAGAGAAACCCTGTCTTGAAAAAATAACAACAACAACAAAAACATTGTATTGAAAGTCATACTGTGAACCTCCAAAAGCCACAGAAATTTCTTGTACCTAAGGCCAATGATATTCAGAGCAGAATTAGAGAATTAGATCGATTTCAGTCTTGAGAGAGAACAAATTTTGCTGGTTTTTGCTTCAGGGACAACACAGATGTCCAGAAGGCACTTGAAAAACTTTCCTTACTCGGTGGGCACCAATAAGTGAATTTAAGCAACAACCTTGGCTCACTCATATTAGTCCCATCCTTAAGGTTTAAACCTCATCTACTCAGTCAAAGAAGAAATGAATTATCTTCTTTTCTTATTCATTCATTGCTCTTAAGGTCACTTACAGTAGTTTTTTTTTTCTTTTTTTCATTACAGATAAATCCACTTGTCTTGGCTTTTAAGAGCTAAAAGTTCTATATTAAATATTTGATATTGTTAGGATGAGGGATTTAGAAGATGAGTCTATTTTGTAAAATATAAGGGTGTTAGTGTAAGTTTCTAAAAGGAATTGTTTAGGAAATGTCATGGAAAGCCATACAACACAGACAGATCAGGCAGAACTATGGAAATTGGAATCCTTCTGATGCTTGAATAGGAAGAAGCACAAACACAGCAGGGCCTAAGTGTACACGTCAAGGTCCTTGAATTGGCTGCATCATTCTCTGATTCTGGGGACACAGGGAGTGTAGAAATGAGTTTTATATAGTGAAGTCATGAAGAAAATGTATGTTATCCACAAATCATTAAATTGACTCCAAGTGATAAAGTTCCTGGGATGTTAAAGAACTTTGGCTTCTTCCATAATTTACGCTAAGAATGTATCCACAAATCAAGCAAGGTTTCAAGTGGTCTTGTTCTTTGTATCAAATATCAGTGCTGCCTCCAAAGCTCACCTCCCCTGGAGATAACAGGACCTTTTCTTGTGTTGATTAGTCAGTTGGAATTTGGACAAATGCAGTCAACTCCATCTCATCTTGGTCCTTGGCCTGAGAGCAGGAACCACCCAAAGCAACACTGCAGAGTACCATCTAGAATGAGAATTGATACTTCCTTCAGAATTCTTGAAGTTCCATCATTAAAAGAACATATCTTTTATATTTTATCTGATACTCAATGAATAATTGTAGTTCACAGGCCTGGACATACTTTATCTCTCATCAAAACCTTTGTGCTCGGTTTTTCATAATTAATCATTTTTCTTACTCTACTGTTTTTCTGCCTATAGAATTTCTGTTACTTAGTGCTGCCTGTTTCTTCTGCATTGCAGAAGGCACATAAATGTTATAATGTTTTCTGATCACTCTTATACACCACTTCTTTTTTTTTTCAAGTCTCTATCATTCCCCCATCCTTGTCTCAACCAATCCCTTTCTCAGATTCATGACATTTTGGTTGGTTTTGAACTACCTGGTTAGTTGTGAACTATTCAGTGTAATAAGAGCACTATGGTATTATGTTCCCTCATGGGGCCTGTAACCTCCCCCACAATGGATAATTTTTAATAGGCTTACAGTACAAGGCATGAATTCTCTTGTGAAGCTGACTTCAAACACAATCTGAGTATGTTTGGTTAGCCTCTAATTTTTGTGCCACAATTTCATGAGTCACTACATCATTTCTCAAAGGTTGGCATTTTCTTTTACAAGAGTCATGGCTGGCTAAGAACCTTCCGGGTTTTTCTTGTCCTGAAGCCCTCACTGCACCTTCATGACTATGAAAGCTATTTATCAGAAAGAATGCTTACAGCTCAGCTCAAGCTTATTTTTTCAGCGTGGTGACTTATTATTTAGTTCTGCTGAACAACCGAGGGGAATGATAAGAGCCCATTTTGTTTGGGGGCCTTGTGGAGCCTCTGTCATCAACAACCCACAAACTAGAAACACCTGAGAAGAGGAAATCTCAACAGAGGAATTTCCTCTATCATATTCCTGACACTGGCATTTTTCTGCCACATTCTTTTTGCTCTTGGTCTGCACCTACTGTAGTTTTTAATTTTGTATGCCTGGTGTTTTAAATTTTATATTATTGTTCTTTCATGAACTCTAGATTCATCTTTCACTTGTTCCCCTTCTCTAGAATCATTCTGGAAATATCACTTGTGGTGGTTAGATTTAGTTAACTTTATACAAACTTGAAACACCTGAGAAGAGGAAATCTCAACTGAGGAATTGCCACTATCAGATTGGCCCATGAGCAGGTCTGTGGGAGTGGATTTTCTTGATTAATGGTTGATGTAGGATGGCCCAGCACACTGCAAATTATACCAGCCCTGGGCATGTGATCTGTACTGTATAAAAAAGCAAGCTGAGCAAGCCACTTGGAATAAGCCAATAAGCAGAGTTCTTTCATGGCCTCTTCTAAAGTTTCTGCCTCCAGTTTCCTGAGCTGAGCGCCTTCCCTGGCTTTCTTTGTTGATGGACTATGACATGGAAGTCTATCATAAACAAAACCCCTTTTTCTTCAAGCTTGTTTTGGTCAATGTTTTATCAGAGAAATTGGAACCAGGAGTGGCTTTTTTCCCCCTGAGGGCACTCTTCCCTTTGTTCCAGTACTAAGTAAAAGACTCCTCCTTAACTGTGCTAACCTCCTTAACAGTTACATCTTCCCTTTTAGCGCATGCCTTGGATTCAACATCGAGGTTGCTGGTGTTCCTTTTCTCTACATACTGTACATTTGTATTTCTTTTTGTCCCACTTCCCTTTGCATTATAGATCTGTATAAGCAGTATCAGTAATAAATTACATAGATTCAATATTATGCTGTCTTGAAATGTCTTCCACAAAAAGGGAGAAAAGGCATCCATTAATTTTCAATATAGCCTTTAATACTTTTTTAGGAAGGACAGAAAGCAGCCAGATTCTTTGACAAAATATCACACAAATGGCCTCTAGTACAGCTGCTATGAAAGCTTTTGAGCTGAGCCTCCATAGTCTATATTGCTCACAGTATTACTCTTATCTAGACTCACACTCTAATGCCACAGTAAACTCTGCTTACAACATTCAATCACTTTTCCAGTCCCAAGTTTCAAACCCCTCGTCATTTCTCAAAAAAAAAAAAAAAACCAAAAACCCATGGTTAGTATTCTTTCTTTCTTCCTTCCTTCCTTCTTTCCTTTCTTCCTTCCTTCCTTCCTTCTTTCCTTCCTTCCTTTCTTTCTTTTTCTTTCTTTCTTTTTTTCAGCTACAGTTCATACTTTCATACCAACTTCTATATAAATGATTTTTCTTTTTCTGAAATGAATGCCATGATGAAGACAACTTGAAGATGAGTATATTTTGGCCTATAAATCCAGAAGAATGAATCTACCATAACATAAAAGTATAGCAGCCAAAGGAAGGCTGCTGTGGAATATTGCTCTTGTACACTGTAACGATTTGTCACTCGAATTGGTTTAATAAACCGTTGATTGGCCAGTAGCTGGGCAGAAAGTTAGGTAGGAAAGCCAAACTGAGAATGATGGGAAGAAGGAAGGCAGAGTCAGAGAGTCACCAGCCAGATGTAGAGGAAGCAAGAGAATGCCATACTGAGAAAAGGTACCAAGCCACGTGACTAAACATGGTAAGAATTATGGGTTAACTTAAGTGAAAGAGATAGTTAGTAATAAGCTTGAGCTATTGGCAAGCATTTATAAGTAATATTAAGCCTCTGGGTGGGTATTCAGGAACTGGCAGGTGGGACAGAACCATTCGTCTTTAGCAGGCATCATGTGCTTAGCTGAGAAATCATATCTTTGTCCACAAGCACAAAGCAGAGAGAGGTAACTAGCAGTTCAAACTCCACTCCCAGTGACATACTTTCTCCAACGTGGCTGTGCTACCTCATCACAAAACATCACCAATAAGGAACCAAGTGTTCAAATGCCCAAGCCAACGGGGGAAGTTTCTCAATAAAATCATCACATTGGCTTTAATTCTTATAAAGATTTACTTCTATTGCTGTCTTAATTCTGACTCATGAGAGAATATGTTTTAATTTCTCAATCCTGACCTTCATAACACATTTTCCGCAATGATCCATGCAACTTTTCATCTTTACAGAGCAAGTTAGCACACTTCAGATTTTGATCTGAATTAAACAAAAACAAGGACACAGGCTGCCAAGTTCATAGAACTTCCAGGAAAATAGGTACCCACTCTTTTACTGAAACACCAGCCCCTTTCTTTTTATTTTTATAACTTGAAATTAATATCTAGTTTTCTCCAGCTTCTCTCCCTCCTATTCCCAGGGGAAGGTTTATAATGATTAAAGACTTAATAACTATGCCTTTATCTATACTCTTTATACCTATGATTTTAAATCACTGTTAGCTCTTCAAATATGTCACTGATGTTCTTATCATAGTAATGGCCAATTTTCTTTGCCTTTGTTTTACTAGCAAGATGTGAGATGAGAAAAAATAAAAAAAGAAAGCATAACTACATTGTCACCTATTCAGTTTGAAATGAGGGGAAGGACTTAGAAGTTGATTGATGTTACATAATATTTCCTCTATGTATAGATGGTTTCCTTTTCTTAAATTAAAACTAGTTAATTACATTCTATGTGCATTGGAGTTTCATTTGAGTGTATGTTTGTGCACCATGTGTATGCATGTATTGGCACAGGAAGCCAGAAAAGGACATTTGATCCCCTGGAACTGGAGTTATAGAAAGTTCTGAGCCACCATATAGCTTCTGAGATATAAACACAGGTCCTCTGGAACAGAAGCCAGTGTTCTTAAAATGTGAGCCTCTTTCTAGCCCCTTTCTAGAAGGATAATTTCTTAAATTATCCTTCTTACCTTAACTCAATTGTGAATTATTATTCAAAAACTCAAAGTGCTTCATAATATACTGATCAGGATTTTGTGTGTTAAAATGACTTCCATTCATTTATTTTATTCTGAACAATCTGGTAAATAATGTTAATGATTAGGCACATTATGATAATGATTTAAATGTGTTTTCATATGCAAAAACCCCACAAAATGTATACATTGAATTTTCATGCCTTCTGTTGATTCTTAGACAAACCCATGACTCAAGAATCTAGTTAAAAATGTTTGTATAGGGCTGATCTACATTTCTTCAAATGTTGAAACACAAAATAAACTTCTAAAATTTCACAATTGATTATATCCTTGTCTGTTCACAGTAGCTAGCAGGCACTTCATCACGAACTGAATAGAATTATATTGTCCTTCTTTCCCCCATGTGAGGAAAAAAGATCTCTGTCTCTCAATGGACATGCTGCTATAGCTAGTACACCTGAGTACTAAAGTGAAAAGCCTGTAGTAATGTTCGCATATAATGAGTATATTAAATTGCCTATCATGAGTATATGTGATTCTTACAGTGTTTGTGAAGATAGTTGTATAATCTAAATTACAGCTCTCTACCAAATTTATTAGGGGAGGGTTCTGCAGCAGTCTGTGGATTCCTGGGGTCTTTGTCACAAAATTGTTTAATTATCACTGCCCTTATTGATATGCTTTCAAAAGATTGTTAATTCATATTTGTACAAATGCCAGAGCTGTAATAAATGTTATTTTCATTATAGCTTTCATTTTTTATGGCCTTCTCTGATTCCTGTACCTCGAGGAGAGGGAAAATAGATCACCCAGACTCATCTAAATATAGTCAATATATTTCCAAATTTAATCTGTATTGTTTTGAGAAGAATTGCCAATATAGCTTTCTTCAATATGCTTACACTTAAACACATACATCTTTTTGATTAATACTGTATTTACAGTTGTCTCATATCAAGCTTCTAAACACCATTTTGTATGACAAATAAAGATATCTCACTCATTTTTAAATCAAAGTTGTACGTAAACCCTTTAGTGCTTAATTAAAATTGAAGGTCATTCTGTTTCTATCATATGGGTGATTTGCAGATGGTTCATGGCCCTTTCCCTGGATACTATCAGCATTTCTCATTCAGAAAGGTCTGGACAATCTTGAAGTTTCTGAGTTCAGAAGCTCCAAAAAAAAAAAAAAAAATCAATTCAACCTCAGTGATTTTTAATGATATTTTATTGCATTGATTTCTTACATTTGACATGATTTCAAAAATATCACTCAGAGAAACCCAGGGAGTAATTTCCTGAGCATGGACTTGTTTTTGAACTGGGAGAAGGCTAAACAGAGGTGCTTTATGTAAAGCAAAAATGTGCTATGTCCAGAGTTACTGACAATAGCCGCTTGACAGCACTTGATTTGCAGCTGAAATATTTCTAGCCTTTTTAAAGATGAAAAAAATAATATGCATAGCTCACTAAAAGAGAATTTACATAAGGAGGCCGTAATTACCCAAGTAGGACCTTGTCACAGAAACTTGGGAAGGTTAACAATTATAAAGATAATTAAAATGCAGAGGATTTGTAGAACACTTATTTGTTTTCCTAAGAGCTCAGCTACTTCTAGCATATTCCTCTCATTGATCTCTGTATGATAGCTATATAACAAGCAGGTTAAATATCTTATAATAATGGAGAGAAATGTGTGAGCCGTTAGCACCATTACTGATCATAAGCATCTGGTGCCGGCCTCACCTGAAAGGCAGGACCTCCTGTGACACAGCGTTTTGAAACATCTTTTCAGGTCACCACTGTAAAACTGACTCTGAGGAAAGAGTGCCACCTACTGAATTGAATTTCCCGGTTACCCTCCAAGGGCTGATTTCCCAGCCTCAGTCAGCACTGCCCTAATATATTTAACTCTAAAAAATAATGAAATTGCTGCACAATGCGTGAAATCATAATATTATCTTTTCTCCCAGTGTCAACCAATTTAATGATCTAGCAGTCATATCTATAAATTAACTATTTCACTCAAAAGCTCTTGCATTTTAAAACGTAATATGCCAATATTAAACATCTAATTTTCCTATGCAGCCAATTTCCCAAATACCCGAATGTCTCTCAAAGTGAACACAAGGGGGAGCTAGTATGTAACTTCTTATGGGGCAGGAGTATGGCGATTATGGAATTAATGTATTCTGTTCTTTTTGGCCGGCAAGACAGAAAAGAACATACATATGCTATTTGGAATTTGTTGAGATGAAGGTAATGTTACTTTTATGTTAATGTTAAATGTTAACATACACAATTTAACCTAATTCTCATCTTTATATGCATTAAAATGTTTAATATGGAGTAACATTTGGGGGTTGCTCCACATCAGATGCATTAATATATATTAATATATATATTTAAGTGTGGCTTAGATTATCTACTTACACATACTTACATACATTCACATTCACCTGCACAGTCACACACACACACACACACACACACACACACACACACGCGCGCGCGCGCGCAGAAAAAACACATTTTATATTAAATAACATTTAATCATAAATTTTAAATAGAGAATTCTAACCTTTAAATTTTAATTTAGCCTCTGCAATTCAGAATATTTGTTCTAAGACATGTTAGAGTCCCTCACTTGATCATTGATTATAAACTTATCAGTATTTTCTTCTGACTTATACACTTCTAATTTTATGAAAATATACAGACGTCAGTTGAAGGTCTACTTCATTAATGGTGTGAATTGTGAGTTCATCCCTCACAGGTTCAGCTGTTGTCTTCCCTCTGTAGCTCCATTGTGAAAATATTGCAGTAAGGCAGGCACATATATCTGAATATGCTTTCATACCATAACATATAATAACAGAAATGGTATTTAGAAGAAATTTCAAATATAGGATTTTTACTTACTCATATTTCTTAATTGCAGCATTTCATAACTTTAATAAAAAGTAGACAAAAATCTTACATTTAATTTACAATGTTATTTTGATATAATTTTTTACATTTTTAGAATTCCTTTTATATAAGAGATTTCTGTTTTTTATTTTGAAAGTTTCATTATTTATTTATTATTATTAGTGTGGAGGGCATGTATGTGCCTCTATCCAAATGTGGAGGTCAGTAGACAACTTACAGGAGTCAGTGAGTCTAGATTTCTACCCTGTGGAGAGAGAATTCTTTTAAAATAGAAAGCATTTCATCTAAAGTATAAAATATATAGTTAATTTACATTGCTTATTCTAATTCACAGTCATCACCAAGGAGAAAGATTTTGAGTAGTGTCATTTCATCATTAGTTAAAAGGCAATGCTTTGATTAAAAGTCAGCAAATAGTCAATACTAGTATAAGATGGGAGCCATACATATCTTTAAAAGATGAGAGGCACTAGTTAAAAACACAATACTTCATTCTTTTGAGAATTTATATTTGATTGGGATTTGGTTTTCTAATACCTTCTGCTATTAAATTTAGTTTGTAATGTTTCGTACATTAAAAAAAATACTGTGGAATCAGATAGTGAAATGATAGAAACAGAATTATAAGAAGGATTTTTTTTCATGTAAATAGTGGCTGCATAGAAAGCAGTAGCTTCGTCCTTTCTTCTTAAGAGCTATATACTATTAAATTGAAGGTTATTGCAAAACAGAATGAGTTACAGGAAACTGCTACAATAGTGGTTCTGACTACAGGAATAAATTCTTGAAACTACATTTTTAACACATAATTATGCATTTTTATGCAATGTCTCTGAGCCAAAATTAAATAAATTGTACAAAATTCCATAAAGTCCTATTTTAAGATTCCCCTTTAATACTGTGAAGTCAATTATTTGAGTGACATAGCAACATTTGCTATTCCTTATTAGTCTGTAAAATTAACATGCAATACTTCTATTTGAAGTCAGTCCAACGCATCAATCAATTTGCCTTTACACTCAACTTACCTACACAATTTTTTTAATTAATCAAATGTTAAGTCCTTTGCATGTTCTCACATAGATTCTAAATAAGCATACACGATCTTTAGATGGTCAGAACATGTTCATTTAAAGAGAGAAGGATAAGACGTTGGCTTAGGATTCAATCTGGTTTGAAATTACAAATAGTGATTATGAACCGAGCTGTTCTTCAGAAATCTGAGATTGCTTTGCTATGCAGACATCATTATAGTGTTCTAAACGCCTTAGCATGGTGGCATACATGCACAGCCTTTCACTGCCTGATATATTTACATCATCTCTTTTTTCCTAATGGAGCTCAATATTTCAAGAACAGTTCATCATAAATCCTTAAGTACGTGTATTATGAACACAAAATATACATGAGGGGAAGAAAAAGATAGGCTTTGAAAACCGTTAAAGTTTTTTTTTTTTTTTTTTTTTTTTTTTTTACATTAAATGTGATTATCAGTCACATTTGGATGGAAAATAATCCAAACTGGAACTGAGATATCAGTCATTCCCATTTCTGCCTTAAAAATAAAGTATATATAATAAAGATAAAATTAGTTACTTAGGATAGCAGTGAGTATTCAGTAACCATGTTCAACTCTAGAGGTACATGAAAAATAATAGGCTTCCTGTGTTTCTTCAGTTCTTGGCAGTGACCTAAGGCATTCACCATATGCATGTAATTCTTCCAGCAAACACTAGGGGGCAATGTGGCATAATTACTCCTGGTGGGGGGCGGTCCTCAGCAAACATGCTTCTGAGGATATATTATTCTTCTCATAAAGTCCTTTCTTAGGCATTGTGTTTCTAGTCTTCCCTCAACTGCATAGATTTATGTTGAATTAAGTCTAATCAATACACTATAATAACCTTCCTTGGAATTTTTTAATTGTTTTGTTCTTGAATTATGGCAGAATTCAAAAGATATCTCATTACTATGCAATTAAAAATAACTTTAGAATGATCATTTTGAAAAGGTAATTCACAACGTTCGTGGGGACATAGCTAAGAGTTACAGCTCTTGTTTAGCTTTGCAAGGCCCTGGTGTTTATCCTTAGAACTAGGCTGGGATGAGGTTAAAAAAAATAAAAAATAAAGATTGATAGATGAATGTCTAAATGTGTGATCACTACTCTTTAAGCCAGTTTCTGCTTTTAAAGATTTGAAGCCTCATCTTCCAAAGTACATGTTTTCAACCAACATCATTATTAACCCCAGAGACATAAAGCTCAGACTGTACAAGACTATGTGGTTAAAAGACCACTTAGCAAAACAGCCTAGGTTTTGGAAAGGCTGAGCCCTCTGTTCAGTAAAAACGTAGATATAATAAACCATCTATTTAGAAAAGACAAGACAGGAGCATTTTAGAATTTGAAGGTCTCACTAAAAAAGAGCTTCTCTGAATTTTTGAGCTGTTGGTCTCCCAAGGGAGTGGTAAATTTGGAAAGAGACCAGACTGCAAAATCAAGACTATAGGTTATCTCCTTGAAGCTCTGGGAAATTAATAGCTCCTCTACCTGAATCTTTAAGCAATTATCCTCAAAACAATCTCCAGAACTTTCTTGTAATTGGTCTGGATTGGATTTTCTTTGAAATCCTGAATGATTCATGTTACAGATTTGTACGTTAGTCATTCACAATTTATAAATGGCAACTTAACTTCAGTATTTATGAATTACAATCAATACTCTAGCAATCAAAACACTCACCTTCTCTACTTCAATGCATCACTTTCCTTTTTGGAGACTGCTAGATCACACGCAAACCGGTCTTGACTTGTGGACGTTTGTGATAGGAGTTTAGGCAAAAGCAAGTTTTGAGACCGTTCAGTCGTAGAAGATGAGGAATTTAGAGCCAGGGGAGTGTGTGTGTGGGGGGGGGGGGGGGGGGTGTGGGTGTGGGTGTGGGTGTGTGTATGTATAAAACAGGCATCTTTGAATCATTGATCTCCTACTGATGTAAATTCTTGACTAACAGTTCAGCTTTTATGCACAAAATATTTTATAAATATCATCAATGACTATTTAGTTTAGAAAAAATATCAGATTGCTATTTGGAAGTTTAGTAAGATGAACAGAGGTGAACCAGACAACAAAGCTATTGGGTGTCAAGGGGCGTTGGAGTGCATTCAGTGTGGGCTGATAGGAGATGGCTGAAGGGTAGACCCCTAATACCGTTCAGCAGATTGCAGTTTCATGAAGCTGCAAAACATGTCTTAAGAGAGGCTTTTCCCTCCGAGGAGCCACTGCCTCTCTCTCCACCGGGCGTCTGCTTTTCTTCTGAAACACTTTCATAATCAAGTGACTTTCCTTGCATGGGTGCCTGGGGACAGCGGGGATTTCTCTGAGGATGAGGAAAGTCACATATTGATTACTGTTGCTCCAGGCGTGTTTTCTCCCTCGCTAGCTTGCACACTACTCCGCTCTCCAACGCTGGACTTCACAGGCACTCACTGGAATAAACAACGCTCTGTGCGAAAACGCGTACACACACACACACACACACACACACACACACACACACACACACTCCGCACCTCCTTCAGATGAGTGCACGGAGTCAGAAAATCTGCATCTCCCTTGGCCTCTGTGTGTGTATGTGTGTGTGTGTGTGTGTGTGTGTGTGTGTGTGTGTGTGTGTGCGAGCTGACGACGTGTGTTCGAACGCGTGTGAACAGAAATGCATCAGGAAGACCGCAGCTACCTCACTCTGCAAAGTAGGCGGTGTTTTCTCAAGCCTGCCTGTGTATCCGGTCCCCAGATACAATCGAGTCACTGTCAAACTTTTTTTTTTTCTCTCTCTCTCTCTCTCTCTCTCTTTCTAGAGAAAGATAGCCGAGCTGCCTCGCCCTGGAGCTGAGGACCCGGACGCCGGAGGGCTCAGGGCTGGGCGCCGCCGCCGCCGCCGCCGCCGCGGAGACTCAGCGCGGGCTCTGCCGGCCGCATAGCTCTCGCCCGGGACTCAGCTCGTCAATGACTCTCAAGCGCTGGGGCTGCTGGCCCCGCCCCCGCCCGCCGTTTCCCCACCTCCCATTGGGCGTGGGCCGAGGAGGCAGGGCCTGGCTCCCCACGCCGATTGGCTGGCAGAGAATCAGTATCAATGTTTAAGCGGCGGCGTGAGGTGAATAGAGTCAGTCAGCAAGAGACGCTGGGGAGAGAATCCGGACTGCCAGCCCGGCGGCTGCCGCAGCGGCGGAGGGGCAGCCCGGAGACGCTACTCCAACTGTTGAATTGAATTTTCCACCTTCCATTTCCTCCGCGCCTTGGCTGCCGGAGATGGATTTATTCGGTCTGAAATCTGCACGGCTTTCTCAGGCTTTGGGGTGATTCTGACAGGCACCAGACTGAAAGAGACCACCCGTGACAGATAAAAAAAATAAGGAGAAATTTTTAAAAAAAAAAGAAAGAAAGAAAAGAAAAAAATCCTCCACAACAGACTGCACAATTAGCTATGCACACCGATGCTGGACTTTGTGAATAGAGACCACTGGGAGGAAAAATCTTGAACTATGATCTTGGGCTAAGCTGTGAATCATTACTGGAAACGTGCTTTTCCCCCTCCTAAGACTGAGAGATTTGGGGGCATCTCACGCCTAACCAAGTGGAAAGGTTTTTTTTTTCTTTTTTTAAAAATCAGATTAATACTCGTAAGCAAAGCAGACGCCTTGTTTTGCAGAGCCTCGGACTCCGGCCGAAAGAGGTAGAGTAAAAGTGCTGCTGGGTTCAGCTTCGCCTTCCTCCCCCACTCGCTTTTTCTCGTTTTCTGCCCCCCCACCCCCACCCCTCATGAATCCAGCTTTTTTTTTTTTTTTTTTTGGATTATTTTTCCTATTGAGTGAGTCAGAGAAAGCGTTAGGAAGAAGCCGCAACTAATGTCTGTGAAGGGAGGACCGTGAGGGGAGAGTGAATACGATTCGTTCCGCTGCTTCTGACTCATCCAGCAGATCAGAACACCTGCATTTTCTGAATGTGTCATTCCCGTATACCGAGGCGCCTGGAGAAGCAGAAATAATGTGTAGATCAACCCGCGCCTAACCTCCCCTGGGTGGTGGAGGTAGTTTCCCCGGGTGGGCGCCCTGGCAGAACCCCTGGTGGCCGCAGCTCCTCACCCTCTGCCCTCCCCAACTCGACCAGAGACCGTGAGAGAGCCAGGCTGCAGAATGCAACACGCCAAACCTTGACGTGTTCCATCCACCCTACTCCTGCCTGTTTAAAACAACAACAATAATAATAGTAATAACAATAAGGGGGTGAAAGCCTGCGCTTTATTTTCTTAAAATATTCCCCACTCTTGTTCCTCGCCAAGGTTTTCCTTTTTAGATGAAAAGGACTGGGAGGCTGGGCCACTGGAAGGAGATGCTGAATAGAAAGAAAAGAGCCACTTGACAGCCCAGCCCTGTGAATGCAGAGACTGTTTCCCTTCTAGCGAGAGACAGGGAGAGTGTGTGTGTGTGCTAGGACTGAGGGGGCTGCCTCCCCCTCCTTTCGAGTCTGCCCTCCCCCTTCAGATCTGCACGTCTAACCATGAGTTGCCTGTTGATTTCCTTTCGCCTGGCAAGAGAAGCAAACTGGAATTAAACTGCGTGGAGTGAAGTCCTTGCTTGCAGGAAGAGGATGAGATGGTAGTGGCGGCTCCCGGCTTGGCGTAGATACACCAGAGTGTTCGACAAACCGAGGCGGAGATAGATCTCTATATTTTCTCCTCCCAATAGGCTCTCAGCGCAAATGCTGATCAGGCTGTGGCTTTTTTGATTTTGGGGGAGAGCCTTCTCCGAGGAAGAGAGGGAGGAGCCTGGTAAGGGGAGGAAACTACAAATCGGGACACTAGGATTTTTTTTTTTCTTTTTTTCTTTTCTTTTTTTTTTTTCCGCTGCATTTCCTCCCCTCCCTTTGGCTGCTCGGAAAGGAGAGAGAGAAAGGGGGGAAAAAGAAAAGAAAAGAAAAGAAAAAAGACTTGGCTCGGAGATGCAGTCCGCCGCCACCGCCGCTGCCTAAGCCAGCAATGCGAGATTAGATCTTCAAATGCAGCACTACACTGCCTGAAAGCCGACCATCCTACACAACGAGCAGACATTTCTCCGTGCTCCAGGGAAGCCTCAAACATACATATGTGTCTGTGACTCTTTGCTTCGTCCCTACTCATTCCCATCCATTTCATCACCGAATACGAGTAACTAAGGATTCCACTTTCCGATCTGCCTGGAGACACACCTCCCAAAGCCCTCCCCCACCGAATCGAAGAGTATTCTGTAGGCTGCCGGAGGGAGTGGATTTTTGCAGCGCCTAGCGGGAGCGAGGAAAACCCACCAATTCTTCAGCTCATTATCATCTCTCCCAGACTCTATTTCCTTCTTATCGCCAGCCTCATCACGCAAGTTTGAGCCTTCTGAAGTCCAGGCGGAAGAGACAAAGCCTTGGGCTCGCCCTCAGCCGCAGGGAGCCGCCGCCTTGCTCCGAGCTGCTGCAGCTTCGCTGAGTCGCTGCTTCTCATCCAGTGCGAATGCTGTAGATCAACAGGTTCGGGCAACTTGAGCGGAATAAGGAGAGACTGACTGGTGCCGCAGCCCGGGTGCGGAGGGAAGGAAGGACTCACAGACTTGTGGCTCGCTCTGAGCTCTGACGCTCCGCCCCGGTTCCAGACTGGCGCGCACCCACCAGCTCGCACCTCCAGTCCGGCTGCTCCTGCTCCCACCCCACCGGTCTGGGATGTACCTTTCCATCTGTTGCTGCTTTCTCCTGTGGGCCCCTGCCCTGACACTCAAAAACCTCAACTACTCAGTGCCAGAGGAGCAAGGGGCCGGCACGGTGATAGGCAACATAGGCAAGGATGCCCGACTGCAACCCGGGCTTCCGCCGGCTGAGCGCGGTGGCGGCGGCGGGCGAAGCAAGTCGGGCAGCTACCGGGTGCTGGAGAACTCCGCACCGCACCTGCTGGACGTGGACGCCGACAGCGGGCTCCTCTACACTAAGCAGCGCATCGACCGGGAGTCCTTGTGCCGCCACAATGCCAAGTGTCAGCTGTCCCTAGAGGTGTTCGCTAACGACAAGGAGATCTGCATGATCAAGGTAGAGATCCAGGACATCAACGACAATGCTCCCTCTTTCCCCTCGGACCAGATCGAGATGGACATCTCAGAGAACGCGGCGCCCGGCACCCGCTTCCCTCTTACTAGCGCACACGACCCTGACGCTGGCGAGAACGGGCTCCGCACCTATCTGCTCACCCGAGATGATCATGGCCTCTTTGCACTGGACGTCAAGTCCCGCGGCGACGGCACCAAGTTCCCTGAGCTGGTCATCCAGAAAGCACTGGACCGCGAGCTGCAGAACCACCACACTCTGGTGCTGACTGCCCTGGATGGCGGTGAGCCTCCGCGCTCTGCCACTGTGCAGATCAATGTGAAGGTGATCGATTCCAACGACAACAGTCCAGTCTTCGAGGCTCCCTCATACTTAGTGGAACTGCCCGAGAACGCGCCCCTGGGCACCGTGGTCATTGATCTGAACGCCACCGACGCTGATGAAGGTCCCAACGGGGAAGTACTCTATTCCTTCAGTAGCTATGTACCCGACCGCGTGCGGGAGCTCTTCTCCATAGATCCCAAAACCGGCCTGATACGCGTTAAGGGCAACTTGGACTATGAGGAGAATGGCATGCTGGAGATCGACGTGCAGGCCAGAGACCTAGGACCTAACCCAATTCCAGCCCACTGCAAGGTCACGGTCAAGCTTATCGACCGCAACGACAACGCGCCGTCCATTGGTTTCGTCTCCGTGCGCCAGGGGGCGCTGAGCGAAGCCGCCCCGCCTGGCACAGTCATCGCCCTGGTTCGGGTCACTGACCGAGACTCAGGCAAGAATGGGCAGCTGCAGTGTAGGGTACTGGGTGGAGGAGGGACTGGCGGTGGAGGTGGCCTAGCGGGGCCGGGTTCCGTCCCCTTCAAGCTTGAAGAGAACTATGACAACTTCTACACCGTGGTTACTGACCGTCCGCTGGACCGCGAGACACAGGACGAGTACAACGTGACAATCGTGGCCCGGGACGGGGGCTCCCCTCCACTCAACTCCACCAAGTCCTTCGCTGTCAAGATTCTGGATGAGAATGACAACCCGCCTCGGTTCACCAAAGGGCTGTACGTTCTCCAAGTACACGAGAACAACATTCCAGGAGAATACCTCGGTTCAGTGCTCGCCCAAGATCCCGACCTGGGCCAAAATGGGACAGTGTCCTACTCCATTCTTCCCTCGCACATTGGCGACGTGTCTATCTACACCTATGTGTCCGTGAACCCCACTAACGGGGCCATATATGCCCTGCGCTCCTTTAACTATGAACAAACGAAGGCTTTTGAATTCAAGGTGCTGGCTAAGGACTCGGGGGCACCAGCACACTTGGAGAGCAACGCCACTGTGAGGGTGACAGTATTAGACGTGAATGACAATGCTCCAGTGATTGTGCTCCCCACTCTACAGAACGACACAGCTGAGTTGCAGGTTCCACGAAATGCTGGCCTGGGCTACCTGGTAAGCACCGTGCGCGCCCTGGACAGCGACTTTGGAGAGAGCGGGCGCCTCACATATGAGATTGTGGATGGCAACGACGACCACCTGTTTGAGATCGATCCATCCAGCGGCGAGATCCGCACGCTGCACCCCTTCTGGGAGGATGTGACCCCCGTGGTGGAGCTAGTAGTGAAGGTGACTGATCATGGCAAGCCCACCCTGTCCGCGGTGGCCAAACTCATCATTCGTTCAGTGAGCGGCTCTCTGCCTGAGGGGGTACCGCGTGTGAATGGGGAGCAGCACCACTGGGACATGTCGCTGCCTCTCATAGTGACTCTGAGCACGATTTCCATCATCCTCCTAGCGGCCATGATCACCATAGCTGTCAAGTGCAAACGGGAAAACAAGGAGATTCGCACTTACAACTGCCGCATCGCTGAGTACAGCCACCCACAGCTAGGCGGGGGGAAGGGCAAGAAGAAGAAAATCAACAAAAACGATATCATGCTGGTGCAGAGCGAGGTGGAGGAGAGGAACGCCATGAACGTCATGAACGTGGTGAGCAGTCCCTCCCTGGCCACCTCCCCCATGTACTTCGACTACCAAACCCGCCTGCCCCTCAGCTCGCCCCGGTCAGAGGTGATGTATCTTAAGCCAGCCTCCAACAACCTGACTGTCCCGCAGGGGCACGCAGGCTGCCACACAAGCTTCACCGGACAAGGGACTAATTCGAGCGAGACCCCTGCCACTCGGATGTCCATAATTCAGGTAGGAGACTTTTAGGGTAAAAGGGACTTCACTTGAAAGTTGCTGGTAGTGCTTTCCCAAGACCTTTGGAGAACTGAAAGCCACATGGCCAGCAGCAATGTGCGTGGGGTGGGTAGTAATTAATTAAAAATGGTCCACACCTTTGTCCCTGTGTGCACACCATTTCCTATTCAGAATCCCCTCCTGTGTAAATAGTTTAAAATGCATGCCTTACCTCTATTGCATTTTTTAAAGTTTATTTTTACAGATTTAAAAATGATAGCAGCAGTCAATATTTAAACTTTATTTTATCTGTAGGACTACATTTTTTCCCATAGCAAGAGTCCTACAGTAGAACCAAAAAAAAAGTAATTCTTTTTAATGACTTGTATTCCACTAAAATCTTTTATGTTGATATGAAATTTATATCCCAAATAAGAGCTAACTTCTTGAGTATGGAATAGTCACCAAGTCAGTACTGTGAATCTATTTGAGCAAAGTTTCACTCCCTGAGAAATCAGTTTTATGCTTTGAAAGTGTTTTAGGGACATGAGCCCCATTTATTCATGAACTAAACTTTCAGCTGAAGTGTTGGAAATATGGATCACATTCTGCAGTGCTTTGTACAGGTTAGTCATAGTGATCAGGAAAAATCTTTGAAAAGAATTTCTTCAGTCCAGGGGTTTCCTTGTGGTTTTCCTGTAGTAACCAGGGAATGAATAGTCTATTCCAAAGAGTCATAAGATCATTTTATGTTGTTGATGACAGGGGAGGAAGTTGCACTGAATCCCACCTTATTTATTTTTTGAACCATGTATATTTTCAGGCTATATATCAACATATATTGTTAACATAAAGTGGAAATAAAATCATTGCCAAAAGCATAGGCATTGATTCTTAAAGGAAGATGACTATGCTGTGATGGTCTAAGTAACCATCTGGTTCCCTTTATTCACTACTGACTCGAATCACCAAAATATTAATTCTTGGTTATCATAATATTCATAAGCATGTGTTGTTACAAATTACCCCTAATGAGCAATGCTTGAAGTTTGCAAATCAGCATAACCCAAAGTGACACTTGGGGTGGAAGTTTAGTTTGAAGTAAATGAAAAGTCACCTGTCCATATTATTATGTGTTGAAAAGCTTGACACAGTAAAGTTACTATTGTCCAAATAGTGTTGAAGCTTCATAGCCCTGCTAATACAGACCATTCATACCCTAATACTTAACAGAAAATATTTCCTATGACAGCGTAGTGAACCAGACTCATCAACTATGATGCTGTTGACAACTGAAGTATTGAATTCTACCTTGTGTAGTATATGAGTAATCATGCTATCATGGATTTAAAGTTAATGTAATACATGAAAGAAATTCTCAACTATAAAAACTTGTCTTCCTCTAATTGTGTGAAATTGATATTTATGATCACTAATATCTCTATAAAGGGAATTATGATAAAAATGCTTATTTATAGATGTGCTGTAGTCATTTTGGAATCAGAAATATTTTGTATAGTTTTCCTATATTTACGCCAATGGCAAGGTTGTCATTAAGGGCTAATATTTAGTCATCTACTTTAAGGGCTGTGAGTTGAATTCTCATCTAGTTTCCAACTTTAAAAAAAATCATAAAATCAAGTTGGTACAGTAAAATTCTCAACAAGTCTGGCTTCTTAGTCAGACTAGTGAAGAGCACTCTTGAATAGAAATATCAAAAGCTTGGGAGGGATATGGTGCTTATACTCTGTTAACAACATTACCTTTGAAGCTGGTCATTGGTTATGGAGGATAACGATGGCTCCTCCCTAACAGTAAAACTCATGCCAAGGAAATCACAAATACTATCCAACCCCTCACATAATTTAAGCAGAAAATAAAAGACTGTCTTGATATTCTTTTGCTTCTAGAATCTTAATTTGTTCCACCAAAATACAAAATGGACTTTAGTTTTGAGTTTGCAATTTTTCCCCAAAGTGTCTCAATTTCCTATGCTATTTCTGTCTTAAAAAAAAAAATCTCAACTTAAAGTGCTAACAGTTATTTCCCCCATCATGTTTTTGCAGTCCTTTAAAGGATGGGCTATAAAATCCTGATAATCTCCTTGGAAATGTACCTTATTGATACTTACTGTGAAAACCATAATAAATTATCAAGCTGCTATCCCTACCCCTTTTCTTTCCCTTAATGATAGTGCTGCAAACACATTGTGCTCAAGTGGAGTGATGAAAGTCTGCAGGAATTCCATAATCTTGCATCAAGCTCATTTGTTAGCGTGTGTGTAATTTACCCTGAAAAGTAAATATGCTACTAATTTCATGTCTTTTCCTAAAGGTAGACTCTTATTTCACAAAATCAAGTTGGATCAACAGCTAGTAGCTCTGTTTCATCTTTCTTTTCCAGTATCTTGCATGGTGCTTTGAAAGTGCTTAGTATCCATTTACAAATGGGTTAAACAAACTTTCATAACTGTGCTGCAATATGCTTGTACAATAAGGTGATATGAAATACAGCAACTTTGGGACTGGAAGCCTCACATTCCAGCTAGAGTAAAAACTGGTTTCAGTCAGAAAGTATTTTTATTGCTGGACCCAAGGTTCATGCTCTCAGTTTTTGTTTCATTATAGGTGTATGTATATTTATTAACAAAGACTTGTGAAAAGAGATTTTATTTTTATTAAATTTTGTGAATTTGTATAAACAAAATCAAGATATAAAGTATTTAGACTATAGATATGTGACTAAAATATCTATAACAGCACAGGAATCACTGTACTACATTAAAGTTTTTGTAAAATTGTATTTATTTTAAGGTATAGAAGTTGTGTTGAAGAATAGGAACACAGATTTTTAGTAGGTAAGGTAGACTACTGTGTAAACATAACATCATTTCCATTGCAGATATTTCCATGTGTATTATTTTGTGTGGTGATGTAAAACATAACATTCATATAGTAATCTTGACAAATTCTGAAGCATAACTGTTAATCTTGGTTTACTAGGGACAAGCCCATACTTTTAATACCAGCTGTAGGGAGATGAAGTTGGAGATCAGTCAGAAGTTCTATGTCATTCTTGGTAACATAGAGTTTGAGGACAGCTTGAGATACATGAGCCCCCACCTCAAGAAAACAAATCAAAACAAAAAAGTAAGTTAAGTCTCGCAGACTTCTCAACAGGTGTTCTGTGTAGTCCTCCCTCATTGAGAAGAAGGGAAAAGGTAGGGACACCTTTCTGATGACAGGCTTTCCTGATTTTTGTCTTGCTTGATTTTGTTTTAAATGTCTGTGTTCTCCTCCAGTTCCGACTGCAGTCAGTTTTAATATATTCTTATAGAAGAAAGTGCGTTAATGCAGCAAAAAGGTTTCCTGAAATTAAATTTTAAAAATACTTAGTTTTACAGATCAACCTAAAAAAAATCATGTCCATTCACTTCAGAGTCCTCATTAAAAAAAAAACAATAAAATTCTTTTGAAATATGTACATGGGGCTTACAACAGAATTACAGCAAATATAAATTCAACACAATATATTGAATATAAATGAGGATATTGTAAGTGTCTAGAGCCAACCCAAATATGTAAAATTGAGATTGAATTGAAAAGGAGTAAGCCACCATGTGTAAAGAGTTAACTGTATTTTAGAAAAGATGAAAGTTGAAGTGTCTTTGATAATGATATCATCCACTGTCTGTCTTTATTCCCACTAACACAGGAGATTCTTGACTGTACAATCCTGTTCATATGAGTTCCCAAGACCACACATGATCTTTATAGCTTGTATTCCTTTAAATTAATGAATTCAGCAACAGATGCACAGCATAAATATGTTTTTGTGTCACTTCAAATTTTGAAGATATTTTGCTACAATTTTTTGTGGTAAGAAGCTAGCACTTGCTTAATCCCACACACTCATCACTCTTCATAAAGTATATAATCCTTACTTATGAGGATTATGTTGGATTGAGCAGGAAAGGGATGGCACTGTCATACTGCATGTCTCCTGAGATATTTTGCACTTTTCGTTTTCCCCCCTCAAAGATTCTTCAAAACATAGGAGGATTAATTTCTACTTTAGTTTAATGAGTATACACCATCAAACATTTTTGTTTCACTATGCATTGAAAACACATGAAGTATTTAACAATCTAAAATTTAACCAAGCATTAGGTGTTTGAAATTTCTTTGTAGGAGGGTTTAAATTTTTTGTAAAGTTCTAAACTTATGACTAGTGTTCTTATCAAAAAGCTAATACTATTCTTAGCCATATGTGTTTCTGTGGATATTTGACCTCCACTGTAAACCTGTATGCATTTCTCTATTTCACAATAAAGAAAAAAAAAGTTACTACAAACTAGAAGCCAAGGATTTTATTTTTAATATCAGGTGACACAAATCTCTTCATGAATTAAGAAGTTTGTTACCTACTTGCCTCCAGATTTCAACAAATTTTCCAAAATGACAGGCAGGTGATCCTTGATCACCTTCACATTGAGATGAAAATTTTGTAGGTTTTGATTGATTGTAGAACCAATTCAATTTTTTATTTTATTTTACTTGTGTGGGTGAGTTGAGTTACTTTAGTACATAGTATTACATATACATTTATATCAAGGATTTAAAAATTATATTTTAACATCTTTTCTTATGTAAAATTTATGTGATCAGAGAAAAAAGTGCCCTGAAATTCTTATCTCAACTTTTCAAATTTAGTTAGAAAATAATTTATATTCCTTAAAACAAAAAATCACCACTGATTGTATTGTTCACTCACCGAAAGTTCTGTCTATTAAGTCAGTGTTGCAATAGATGATGTGTATTATTAACATATGTACAGTGCCTAGAAAAAATTTTAAATGTGAATTTAAAATAATTACTCCTAAAATAACCCCAAACTATCATCTCAGTTAAAGAATTATGTATATTATAAGAGGGGACCATTCAACTTTTGGGAGTGAATGTTTAGTGTTGTTTTTAAGTGCAGTTTCTTACTATATCATGAGACAGCACTACTGTCATGTCTGAGATCTAAAATTCCTCATTGTGAGGACAACTTATGTAATATAGTGCAACAGAAATGCATATAGAAACACAGTGTTTATAAGTTAAAATACCTTAAGATATTAAAATTAATAAAAGTTTACTTGTATTTAGTAAGGTTGGACTTGCATATGCTTATTAAACTATGAAGAAATAAACTTTTGGGGAAAGTAGTTATGTGTATACCTATGTATTTATTGCCTATGCATCTAAATATTTTCAGTACCAAATATGTATGTAAATATACAACCACAAATATCTCATTTTTATATATTTTAGTTCAAATGAGTTCACTCTATAAAGAACAACTGATACCTATATTTTCCTTTGAAAATATGTTCATCGTGAGAACTTAGAGCTCATAGGGGTTAAGGAAAGTAAACACAAAAGTCAGGCAAGTGTTTGGTACTTTGGGGACTGGTGGGGTGGCTGGAAATGTTAACAACATATGGTGTAAGATTGATGATGAAAGACCAAGAGGAAGAAGTCCCTACAGCTGGGCTCAGGTCAGTGAGGAAATGAAACTTAACTCCCTGATGCAGGAAATCTTGCAATACACTCAATAGTGGGTACATTCTTACAAATGCACCTTCTAATTACGATATTACTCATTGCTCTAGAATGTATTCCCCTAGGTAATATGTCTGTTTAATAAATCCCACAGGGCATTACCTTAAAGTCATATTTTAGTAAAGCATTAGTGGAGTGATTTCTTTGGATTAAATTCCTTCAACCAGTGATGTATAATTGGTGGAGAATAGCACACAGTTCATTTTTTTTTACTTATCATTTTGGAGATAGCATGACTTCTGCCACCCACTTACAAGACACTTTCGAAGTTCATCAGACCTACACTAATCTATTGTCAACCTACTTTAGTAAAGGAGACTTTGACATGAATTCCCCTCAATGGCAGCATACTGTATTTTATAGCAAGTCATAGCTTTCACCGCTAGCTTTGACAGTGATGTATTGCTATCCTTTGGTCTCTGGAAATAAATCATCTATAATAAAGAAGTCCTTAATGGCATCAACATTCTCGCTGTGACTAAGCAGAAATATGCTCTTGCTTCCTTGCTACTGCAGAGGAATCGGTTCAGTATTTTAAAGGTGTAGCATAAAAGAAAACCTCACAGCAAGATATAAATGCAAGTTGTGGCTTTATGGGAGGCATATTTCACTTACATGCCCTGTATTCTAATAGACTATGAAATTGTTTTCAGCAGTGTTTGAGAAAATCTGTTGATATACATGTGACACAGTATTGTTTGTCTGTTCTGGTCATAGTGACATTCTGATTACTGGTATTTGTAGGCTTTGCTCTGGATCTGTTCCAGGTAGTTTTATTGTAGTGAAATGGTTCTTATGGTTCATTGAGCATCTAACATAACTATGCCGAATATGATTGGCACGTTTGCATATATTTATTTAAAAAATAAGGCAGTTAAACAGCATAATTATGGGAAAATGAATCATGACAATAAAAGACTATTTGAGTTAACAAGCTTTGTGATCAAAGAATAAATACAGGTTGGAAAAATGAAACTTTATATGTAACTGATCTACATAAATAGACGTTGGTCTGATTAGAGGAATTGAATAATTAAAATGCTTTAATGATATTAAAAATGCATTTTACTTGGGCATTTTGAAATATTTCATGACCAATGTTATCTTATTTTCTTTATATTTAAATTCTATGAAATAGTCTTATCAACCGTATTAATGTTATATAAAATTTGTATGATAAAGATAATATAATTTTAAAGATCCTGCTTGGTTCAAAAATACTCTGCCTAAACAATACTTAATACTTTTTAAACTTGCAATGTCTTTATTGATTTTTAATTACTGAAACACATTAAAGGGACCATTTAAAGGACAATTTCTTGTTTACTTCCTTTATTAGCTAAAAGCAGTCTTTTGTAGAGTTTAAAAGCCAAAGATTTTAAAATTAATTTCAAGTTTCAAAGGTATACATTCGAAATTGTTTGTAGATATTTACTGCTCTTTGCAAACAGTTTTATGCTTATAAACTATGCTAATAAATATGTAGATGCTAGTTATAGTTTTTGAACAGTCCCAGTGTTATTTCATTGGCATTCACATTTTAGGTAACAGAACTTCCGAACTGACTCATGTTCTCTACATAACTATGATGCTTTATATGTAGATTTTTTCATCTTTATTTTCATATAGCAACTTAAAACATAGTTAATATGTAAGACCTAAATATATGTACTTACATTATTTTTGACTGAACTCTTAGTAATCATATGGATATATATATAACTTTAATATCTTCCAGTAAAATTCAACCCAAAATTCAAGTTTGATTATACCCTAAATTTAACTTTTGTATATTTGTACAAAATGGAAATATACAGTCATATTATTGCTTAAAAGAATTCAGGGATCAGAAAACGCTTTCTTATTCTTATTATCAAAATCTAGACTGTGTCTTTAACACATTTTTTAATTTGTCCTTCCATTGTAAATTTCTTATCCATTTTGAAATCTTGACGCTAGACTTTTCTCCCTTAATATATAACACTGTTTTTCAAACCATAGTTCTCAATATAGATACCTTTACTAGAGTTGTTTACAAACAGCTAATTTTTTCACATTACATTAAAATTATTGTATGACTGAATATTCAATGTTATTTTTTTGCATCAGTAGATAAATCAGGTATAGAATTAAGTTGCTTTTCACACAGAAAACAATTAAACACACATACAAAGTGGCACTGTGTGCTTCTTATCAGTGCCTTTATTTCAGTAGATGATATAACAATAAGAAATTAGATTATTTGAGAAGTCAGTTGCCTATAACAACTGTTTCACTTGCCTGATTTGGAACAGAGGGAATTGGCTTTTATTAAAAGGAATTATATTCTAACCCAAGCCTGGCAATTCCTTTATGATACATATTTTCATAATTATTAATCACACAAATATGCTGACAACTTTAAAATGGGTTACTTTGAATTCTATCATTAAATTGTGAAAAATAGGATAATATTTCATCTAAAATTTGGTGATCCCTTTCTTGGAACACACTGGCCTTGCTTTCTAGCAGATTTTGCAGTCTTTCATATACTCTAGGAAAGTTTGTCCAAGATAAACTCATTTCACCAAGAATAAACAAAAAAGGGAGACTTCAGTTTATTATCATTTTTATTTTGCCTAAACAAAGGATTACAGAAAAAAATCTCCACATGCTTTCATGGTAAAATATTTGGTTGTTTGCTTTATTTTATTTTTGTTTGAATCTTTTCACGGTCTTACATTGACATAACAACCTCAGGGTTTTTTTTGTCTCAGATTGTAATCTGATCTCATTACTTCAAAACTCTGTCATTTAAGAAGTTCACTGGGCATGGGATATGTGAAGTGTCTCTGCAATCTCAGAAAACAGTTAAATTAGTCTATAGAATCAACTTATATTTATAATATTGTGTAGAATGGTTGCTTTGTGTAGAATTGTTGAGAGCAGAGAGGTATGAAAATAGAAGACAGTTAAATATCAATTCACAGACTGAAGTAAACATCTCTAACCTTGCATTTTTAATGATGGCACATCATGGTTAGTAATTATTAGCTGTGTGTATGCCCTGACCTTTGGAAGAAAACTATTATTTATCCCTATATGATAATAAGTTTGAAAAGAAGTCATGATCCTTTTAAAGAAACCAACATTTAGTTCAATTTTTAAGAGTTGATACCAGAAGCCTGTTCTGAGATGTCGTCCTGATATCAGATGTGCCTGATACCAAATGTTTAAGTAGTGAAAAATGAAGAACAGATGAGGAATACATTAAAGACTTTTTATTTCTGATTTTGAGCAATAGACTTTCCATTTTTTTTAAAATAATCAAGACAATTACACAGTAATTTGGGTTAGAATGCATGCCCAGTTCCCCATCTCCAAACCCAATTTGTTACCACCTGTGGCTATTTCTATTAAAAAAAAAAAGAAACATAATTACTATGAGTCTCAGCAGTCTTAGAGTAAATTTTTGCAATTACAATACCTCCCTTGGGCAGATGTGTGAAAATGGTAGATTAATTCCTGCCAGGATTTTTCTCTTCCTTGTGCATTTTTAGGTTTGGTGTCTACTTATTAGAGTGAGTGTTTGCTCTGGGTAAAGGTCATGTCAGTGTTTCTGTAGTAAATCTCCAGAAATAAAGATCCACAAATCATCCATTAAATTTTGCTCCAGGCAAAAAGCTGACATGTAACAACTCCGGGATGGAGTGGATAATATTTTCCATTACTGTCCTCCGTGGCCTAAGTTAAGTTTGAAGTGAAACACTAAGAGTATCCTGCTGTCCTAAGAAGCACAGAAAGTGTGTCTAAGTGAGTAGATGCTGTGGTAGTAATTTTGCTTTATGCTTGCTCCCAAGGCTACCTGAAGCCTAAAAGTTTAAAAGATGATAATAAAGGTATTAGGACTCAAATATTAACAGCTTCTTTCCTTCCTTCCATCTCTTTCCTGCAGAAATGTGGTGCTGTGTAAACCCAGGTCTTGATAAACACCTAATTGATGTATATACACAGAGCTTAGGGAATTCTTCTAAATTTCAACAGTCTTAAATGTCTGGATCAGTGTTCAACAGTACAATAATAATATTCAACTTATTTATTTTGTATTTGAAGATAGGTACTATATCTATATTTTTTAATACGGTATTTGATAGATACATACATTGTGTGATATCTAATATACATTTAAAAATATAGATTCTTTGTAATGAAAACAAAACTTTTACTTAAGAAGTTTCCAATGATCAGTAAATATATATATATATATATATATATATATATATATATATGTTAAAGCTTGAGCAGTGTCCAGTCTAAAACACACACACACACACACACACACACACACACACACACACACACACATATATATATATATGAAGACAAATAATATATAGGGATAGATGTGAAAATAATGGTTTCTTGATGAAAAATTTTAAAGCACTATATTTAGACAAATTTTCATTTATATTGGTACCTTTTAAATAACATTAAGAATTTCCGTGTATATGCAAATGCATTGCAAATCATAGAAAAATATATTAGTGTTCAAAGTGTGCAGTTTTTATTAGCATCAAGCTTTCTCAGTATTTCTTCATACTATATATAGTATACATACATACACATGCATATGTATATGACATTCAAAGAAACAATAGTGTTGATTGCCACTTACTTAAATATTTCTTATTCTTTGCTATGATTTACACAGCATTACAATTATGCCAGTGTTATATGAATTTACTAAAGCTGTCTCATCCAGCTATAATAAATTAATCATCTGAAAATCATTTTGTTTATATTTTGAGGTGCTTACACACAAATACTTTCCTGAATAATTTTTAAATGAGATGAAGTAATAGTGAAGCCATAAACATCTATTTGCAGTTGTTGAAGTATAATTTTATGATGTATTAATTTGGTACAAAATGTATATCAGTTAATTTTCATAGAAAATTATATTGAAATTATCAAATATTTAAAAAATAAACTCGCAAAAATGTTCACAAAATTTCAGATTCTGTTTTTATTATGTAGATGCTGATGAAAACTTTATGTGTATATTTAAAAAAGCTTTATAGAAATATCATGCTGCCCATTTTGATCTTGTTATTGAACTCCCAGTCACACCCTACACTTAATTGATTCATAATCATTAATTCAAGGAACAAATAGTAAAATAGTTTTTAAGTTAATTGAAAATATTTACTTTTATGCTATTTTAAAACTTACTTGTTATCCGAGTGCTATTTGCAAGGTTCATATCAAGTGATAAGGAGGCTTGAAAGAATAAAAGCTGCAAGAAAATTGAGTTTTTAAATCATATTAAAAGTTCATTCAGAACTGAGGATATATTTTAGTGATAGAATAGTTAATCAGCATTCAAGACCTTTGGTGTAACCTCTAAGAATGAAAAAAAAAAATTGTCATGTGTTCCTACTTAACCAGAGTATGCAGGATAGAAAGTAAAAGAAAACAATAGAAAGGAACGTGTAATTCTAATTTTAATGTTTATGATTTATTTTGAATTTTATACAGATGACAGACACTTCTTGAAATGTTAAAGTAATAGTTTTAAATACTGCATGAGGTGAGCCTGCAGATGGTGAACTCTCACTGTTGACATTTATATTCACACTCATCTAAACAATATGATTCAAGTCTATCTATTAATTCATACTCTAACATTGGCCTTTTGGAAGAAAGGCACATTGACAATCATCCTAACAAATGCATACAATGCAGATGGGTGACTTCCAGGATGGCTGTTTTCTTTGTTGTTTCAAGAATATTGAAGCAAGTGCTCTACCAAACACTACTGACCAGAAACTGGGCCTGTCATAATCTCTCCATGTTTTATTCATTTCTCTCCTATATTTCTTTTCCTTAAGACATTTTACATATATATGTATGCTTTTTCTTTAAAGAATTTAGCCAAAGCATCTTCAATATCTACAAATTCTAAATGATTTAGGGAGCACTGAAAATTTTGCAAAAACACGGTTTTCAAGCATTTGTGAATTTTTTTCACAAGATATATAATTTTAAAATTGTCATCTGCTTAACAACTATGAAATGTTCTTCAAATATTTAAAAAAAAAAGAAACTGTCATTTAAAACACCCATGTGGATCATGCCTGTGATCTTACTATTTGGACATCAGAGTCAAGAACAGCCCAAGGGGGAGGCCAGGCTGAGCTACAGGCAGACCCTGTCTCAGGCAGCCAATGTCTGTAAACCTGCCTCTGTGGTACAGCACATAACTACCCATGTCCAAAGCCTTGAAGCCAATCCCTAACACCATGGAAAAAAGTACCTGATAGTGGGGTATATGTAAGGAAGTATTACTTTTGCCTTATACCAAACTAACAATAATCGTTCTTCCCATATTTTGCCTTGTTGGTCTTCTTTCTATGACTTTCCAGTGGAAAGTATGTGTTTAATGTACATATTAAAGTTCCTTGTATATTTAAATCTATGGGAATATTTTCTATTTGAAATTCAGGTATATGTGGTGAGGAAACATGATGGTGTTTATCACTATAGTAACTGAATTATGTTTGTACCTGGGATTGTTGTAGTTGACATTTCAGTGTAGACATTCATCTGTAGTGATTGAATTAAGTAGTTTCATGTATTTCATTTTGAAAATACACTTAAGTAGACAAGAAAATTTGGAGTATTTATTAAAATAAACAATTTCTTCATTTTTTGCCATCTAGGAATGAGTATACACTTTTAAAATAAAAAATTTCTTTTATAGAAGAGCAAAAAAAGAAACTTCACAATGTGAGTCCTTCTTTTTATCCTTCAGGCAGGAATGCATACTAAAAGATACAGTGAAGATGCCCTCATGTAAACTGCCATATCTAAAAAATTAGGAACTTACACTAAATTTTGCTTTTTAGTAAACTTTTCTGTTTACAGATAGGTATCTCAGTTCACACCAGCATATTCATTCATGATGTAACAAAAGGAAATTCACTTTGAATTTAGCCAAACATATCTCACTTTTTAACTTGAAATTTCCCACTGAGTTTCAGTATGTATAAATTTGGTGTTTATATGAAATATTCATGATTTCAATGTAGAAATTAAATTTTCAAGGAATTGCTGGTTATTTAAGAATGCTATAGTCTGGGTTTGGAATTTCAGGATATATTATGACATACTGAAAGGGTGAGAGAAGAAAAGGACTGCTGGTCAGTGTCCCCTGGAAATATACTAATTTGAGAAGAGGAGTATCATTTCACTTGGTTAATTGCAATAACCCATCATCTTGTTAGGACATTAGGGTACAATCAACATGGTGCATGAAAGCATTGAAAATCCAATCTTTAACTTTCATTGCACCCATCTGCTCCCAGGAAATGTCATTAGAAATTTGAGCCCATGACCTTTAGCTTCCATTTAGGACTACAGATTCAAAACTGGTGTTTTCACACTGAACATTTTAAGAAATTTTGGTGAGTGCTCTACCCTGAACATTTCTAACCTAATCACCCTTTTAAAAACTGCCAAGCTAAAACCAAGCTAAATGGCCTGGTGTGTATTTGACAAAAAAATAAACAAAGTTGTTCAATCTTGAGTGTAATTAAAAGCAGTGGATGTTCTACATCATTACGGTCTCTTATTAACTAGCTCCAATTGTGACTGGTATTTTATGACAGACCTCTACTTCTCATCAATTATTCTCTGGCTCCATAGCATCCTTAATTTATGCCTATACCATCTAACTACACTGAAATTGCCTGCTAGAGCCTTTGAAAAAAATCAGTATATCTATTTAGTATTTCAGATGTTATCACGAATTTTGAAAATTTACTTGCCCTTGGCATTTTTTGTCAACATAAGTATGATAGTACAGAAACTTTCTAGATTACTTTTGTGTAGTCACTTAGAAGAGAGGAGCGTGATAAAATTATGTGCCTATCATAAGAAGTGAATTATGCAAATTGATGAAGATTTCTTGTCAACATTCATGTACTGCTTTGCTCAGTGAAATCCATGTAACTTGGAAAAGACTCATGATTAGACAGGTGTTTTTTTCAGCCCATGAGATCAAATTTCTGAAATATTTATATAGTGGCAAGCCAGATGTACACAGTTTAACCTTATAATCCCATTTCACAGCTTTTCTAAATACTTAGAAACTTGTTAAGTTAGAGGCTGATTGTTTTGGCAGCCTATCCCCAATAATAGGATTCAGATATTCCTTATTTACAAGCCTGTGCTGTTAATATAATCCAGTATATTAAATCATAGGGAAACTAAACAGGAGATTCTATGCGAGGGCTAATTGACAGGGAAGCTTTTCTAAAGCTTTTTAATTTGGTTTTTATTGACTGCATAATATCAAGAACACACATATCGTAAGTGAAAGATATAAATGTTTTGGATGCTATGCTACTACCATTTGAGTGTGAGGTACTTACTGTTCCGATCTCTTGTACTCCTATCATAATCTTGATATAAGCCACATAAGACCAGGCATCTGCTCTTTAAAATATTTCTTTCAACATCCTCTCAATTGCAAGGCTTACTGTCATTTGACATGTGGAAGTATTTTAAATGCACTCATCTGGGCTTTTTAAATGAATAGAGGCAATGTAGGGTAATGTAATAATGTGTCATGATTTTCATTATGCTTATTTATTGGTTCTGCAATAATGGAAAACAAGCTTATTGTTATGCTTTTAGCTAGAGCTATTATGTACTATGGTCCTCATGCTCCATTTTTGTATTTCTGCGATTCTGTATCCTCAAAGAAATGTGCATCAGGAGTCTTAAACTTACTTAGATTAGGGAATGCACTTCATTTTTTTTTTATTTTCTATATTAAATCTATGTCATTTATAAACTGATTATACTTGAAGCAACACATGCACTTGCAAAGATGGGAAAGCCCTGTTTTTCAACCTGTATATGACAACTCCAAGTTTTCTATTTTAAAGAAAAGTCAGGAGAAAGCAGGCTATTGAGAAACTATCTCCTGCTGCTTTATTTCTTTTAGGGAAAATTATGTAAATTGTGTTATATCTTTTTCCAAAAAAAAGGTCTAGTGTACCATTAAGAAATTGACAAACTAAAATATGAAACATTAGTTTTTTAACTCATAGAGAATTTCAAGAAGTGAGGATGAGTCCTACATCTAAGACTAAGTCCTCCTTTCCTGTCTGGACTTGACTGAGTTTTTAAGTTTGTCTAGCCAGAGAAACTTCTTTAGGGAGCACTTACCTATCCCAAAGCCCTGATATGCCAACTCCATGATTTCCTAGTGAAGTAATTTTCTATTGTTGATAGCTTTCAGTTTCTCCAAGTTTCTTTGAAAAAAACTAACTATACACCTCCCCCAAATTTCATGAGAAAATCATTGTTTCTGGGATGTAATGAAGTCTTATTACCTAAGTGATGACAAGAAGTATAAAAGTTTTCGTTTATATTTTTAATTACCTGTAATTTGCTAATCTGACCTAGTCATTGCTAACCTTTCATTTTATAAATCTACAATTTCTTTTCAATTGCAAAAATCCACAGGACTCAAATCTAAACAGATCTAAGATCATTTGTATTTTTTTATTGATTCTTCTTATTGTGAATTGACATTTCTCATGCTGAGAGATTACTATGTTCACTGTTGAGATGTTGTACCAGTCCTTGATGGGATGAAAAAATATATAACTATACCTCCAAACATTTAAAATGTGAAAGAGTTTTAGGCTTAGATACAGTCTAGTAGAAGGATTTAGGGAAGGGACTAATTTCTACTTTATGTATACGCACATAAGCACATGCAATTTAGTTTTTTAATGTACGTTCTGAACATATACTAAACTGTGTTTCTCCTACAATTATATGAACATGGCACAGACTTTTTTCAATGTTGATAATGCAGTTTTATGTTGTCTAAATGGGGGAATTCTGGGTCCATTAATGGATATGATTCATTTCATCAGTTACTCTCCATAGACAGATTGTTTACAATGAAGTTTTATTCCCATGATTCCTCCTTTAAGAAAAAAATGCAGCTCTTAAGTCCAGGCACAGGTGCTTCTTTGTTTATGATTTATCTTTTGTTTTCTTATAGAATATAACAACAATTTCTATTCTTATGGTGCATATAGCAACCAAATAAGATCATTCATATTATGAAGCACATGTTCAATAATAACTAGGTGTTAAAGAAACATTAATACATATGACTATGATTATTCTCAAAAATGATAAAACATTTTGGATCATCTAAACCTCAAGGAAGAATTATGTAGACATAATTCATAATTTGAGTTGACCTAAATCCTAGCAACCATATAAGAGAAAACCAATAATTCATATCATATAAGAATTTTATTTCAGAATACTTATGACTATTGAATTAATTTTACTGAAATGATGTGCTGTATTGCAAATTGTCATTTTACATTCTCTAAGCTATGTTTTGTCCTCTTTGTTTTGTTTTTATAAATAGGCATTTTATGAAAGTAAATTTTTTTGAAATACATTGTCAAATTTGGATTCCAGATAACTTAAAATTCTTAAGCTAACAAATTAAAATTTGAAGGGAAAGATGTAAGTTTCCTTAATAAACTGTTCTCTTTCTTTTAAACAGGGTGGCCTTGAGGGAATAGAAGGTTCACATAATGTCAAAACAGGCATTTTTGCACAAGAATTATAAAGCAGTGAATATTAAAATATCAGTATAGGGGCTAGAAAATTGTTTGGTGGGTAAAGTGCTTGCTGCTCAAGCATATAGACTTTAGTTCAGGTCCCCAGTACCCAGGTAGAACGCCTTGTGTGACACTAATGGATACCTGTAATCCCAGTGCTATTCAGACAGACACAGGGTAGTTGATGGTGACTGCTGGCCACTTAAATCTAGCTGAATCAGGGATTTCCAGGATCGGTGAATGAACTTCTCTGGAAATATAATGTGGAGAATTATTGAGGAAGACACTTAGATTAGCATGCTGGCTTTAACACAAAGACATACACACACTTGCACAAATACACATACAAACATTCATTCAAAAATCAAATTTAAAAATAAATATCAATGCTTATTATTGCATTCGAAGTCATCCATATTCCTTTTCTTATTCAAAAATTGAAGTTCAAAAGTTTTACCCACATGTATACAGAAAGTTCATCTGATGTAAAATTCAGAGTTCTTATGCTTTTTAGTATATTATGTTGGAGACCATAGTCGATCAGATTACCATACAGTGTAGATAACTGGTGCTATGAATTACTACTTCTTAGTTCCTGAACCTCTGATCAATTTGGAGAAAAATTCTTTACATCATATGTACACAGTACATTGAACATTTCCAGAACTGCTGTAGAACACAGGGTCATGACTTCTTTCTCTAGCTTGCCCTGTATAGTAGAAATATTTCCAAATTGGAGACTCCAGAAACAGTCTATGCTTCTCATATTTAACCACAGAATTGCTGATGGTTTTTTCATTCTTAACCAAACCGACTCATAGATTTCCATGTTTTTATTTCTGCGTCTTCAAAGCAAAACCATTGTAGGAGCAAAGCCATTTGAATCTGTATAGCCTGGCATTGGAAAAGAAGTGATGCTTGATTAACAATTATTCCTTGGATAAAAATCATAAGTCCATAAAATACAAACAACAATGATAAATATAAAAGACTGGGATGGAATAGTAAGTGTAATACACATAAAAGATGAGTCATGTATGACCTGAGTAGAAATTCTGAATCAAAAGAAGTTTGATTCACAGTACTTACTTTCGGTCAGCTCCACAGATAGTATTTTCCATCTCAAAAACTAATGATAGTGTCCTTATTGTTACTCTAGGTGAGGGTGACTGGAAATATTGGACTTGGAGGGGGTCGCTGCACAGTGGTATTATCACCTTGTCAAGTGGGGAATGAAGCACAGCATCAAAAGAGCAAACATGGATGTGAGACAGAACGTTCTTTGAAGTAACAGAGCTGAGAGCACTGTCACTGGGGGAAAAAAAACACAAAAACCCAGTTACGTACTCTTCCCATAAGAGCTCTCTAGAGGAATTTGTAATATACTTCAGGAAGCCTTGTGTGTCTAAGTGCATTTCATTTTCAGGTGCTCCCATGGCGGTACTGTTTGTATGGTTTTAAGTACTTTGGAATTGAACATAAACATACTAAAAATCACCTAGCACTTGGTTCCACTTTAAAAATATGAGCAGTTTATTCAGTCAGGTGCTTTTCAAACGTACACACTATGAGCAACATCTATGTCTTAGAGAGAAAAAAAGTGATTTATTTTTGTTTTTCTAGGCTATAACTTAATTAAAATAGTGCAAATATCAATATGTCTTACTATTTTTAAGTACAGAAATAAATGGTAAATGCTTAAATCATGTTATTAAAAATTGAGATATATCTAAGACTTTTTTTTTCTTAAAGGCTAGATGACCAACACTTTGGGTGTGTGATTAAAGCAATCTCTCATAATCATTCTGTCCCATTGCTAAAGCATAAAGGTGGCTATGGACAGCTTAGGATTCCATGGACATGGCAGGATTTGGATAGAATTTTGCTTTTAAAAATGTTACGAGCCATGGGTCAAAAGCTGTTGTGAGGCATTAATGACTCAGCAAAATTGAGGATTTTATTTGTTTGTTCATTTTAAGTTATGTGTGTGTAAGTAAATTTATACCATATGAATTCTAAGCAGTTTTCAACGAAGTGAAACTAGCAGCTTAAAATTTCAAACTAGAGTTCAAGCAATCTGAGCTACTGTTTTATTAAGTAACTGTCATCGTATCAGGGCAGTTCTTGCCCTAGAGGAAGAAATTTCTTGGAATTAAAATAACCAGGCAAAGTAAAACCTACACACTTTTAGGACTGGATATTTAAGTGACACTGATAAAAAGAAGAGATATGACTATTCACTTTTCCTTGCCAATATTAATATTAGTAAAGAAACTTTATTTGATTTTAATTTCATATATGACTACCTAACTCAAGGAGACTATTCTTCTTGAATCATAGATGCTGAATTTTATACTTCCTACTATATGCTAGAGAAAAATGATATCCTATTAATTCAATAATGTCCTGTGACTACTTAACAATGTGTTCAAATCTGGAAATACTTCCTGTTTTGTCATACTGCTTTCTGAACAAAAGCCCACCATTGTTTAAATATTTTATCATTTTCCACAATTGGGTCTTAAATTACTCTTGTTTTAAAGCAGGAATTTGATCTAATGCATTAACATTTTGGAAATTCAAAATTCTGCATCACTGTGGGACTTGTTTGTGTTTAACAGAAAAATTACCTTTCAAGCCCATAAGTGTAGTTAAAGTTTTCCTGTGGTCCAGCCTGCTGGTGGTCAGGACAAATCTCTCTCACACACCAGTCAGTCCCACAGCCACTTGGACCCAAGTAAACATACAGAGGCTTATATTATTTACAAACTGTATGGCTATTTGCTTAAGCTTATTACTGACTAGCTCTTACACTTAAATTAACCCATAATTCTTATTTATGTTTAGCCACGTGGCTTGGTACCTTTTCCCAGTTCTGCCTTCACATCTTGCTTCTTATGGCAGTGGCTGGCAGCGTCTCCTGACTCAGCCCTCTTGTTCCCAGAATTCTCATCTCTGCTTGTCCTGTCTATACTTCCTGCCTGGCTACTGGCCAATCAGCATTTTATTTATTAACCAATCAGAGCAACAATTCACAGCATACAGAAAGACATCCCCAGCACATAAGGAAGGTTGAAGACTTTAGATTACCACTAAGTATTTACCAGCCATGGTAAAATGCATTGACCAATGAGTTGGCTAACTTGTTTATACTTATCAATAATTAATTCCCTATGCCTATGGAAAGTTAGAAAAGGAACATAAACAGAAATCCATGTACCAGTTTTACATTGGATTTCCTCAGTCTTAAACTTTTTTTTATTTAAATAAGAATTGGAATTCACCTGTAATACTGATAACATGAATTAATGATACAAAATCACAAGAACCACAGAATTCTTCCTTTTATTTTTTTGTTCTCATTTACAAAATGCAACTATATCAAAACAATAATTAATCTTATCTTTTGACAGATTATTTAATATTTTGAGTCATAAGATTACTGAACCATATTTAACAGAAAATCATTACATTCTTAATGCTTTTAACCTCAGAATCTTGACAAAATAGGCAGATGAAATCAGCTCCTCTTTTTTATTATATTTTCACTTGAGAATTTTGTATAATTATTGGTTAAACATAATGACTTAAATTTCTTTTGTATTTCTAATGTAAATACTTAGAATTTCCTGTGCTAACAATTTCTTTCAGTATAATTTTGGTAGGTAATCATATGGTTAAGCCTAATGCATGCATTTGAGTTTTGATAATAAATGATCACTATGATCCTTTTAAGTTACTAGTCACAGAAAAACAATCTAGTTATTAAAATTTTGTATATATGTGTATATGTATTCAGTATATTAAAATCATTTAACATGAAAGTGCACAGTCACATTTTAGGGATGATAATAGTACTATTTTGCTTAGTATATAACAGTAATTTTTAAAAGACCTTTAAGGAAAGTTACATTAATTTCTCATTAACTTATTTCTAAAAATATTGAGATGGCGCATTATTTCCCATCCTTATCTGAGAGAGACAGCATAGAATTGGAGAGTCATGGCAAGCCTCTGCCAAGTGTCACTGCTTGGAAATGAATTGGGTAGATGACAGGCGACTCTGTGGCAGTCCCTTAGCAGCAGTTTCTCTGTTTAAAATGAATGTGGACAATAACTCCAGTGTGTCTACTCTGGCAATTGAGATGAATGAATAATAAACACCCAATAATACTGTTTCGTAGATCCTAACATAAGACAGAGCACTCCTAATCCACCACTGCCAAACATACAAAAATACGCCAGAAACAGACACTCAAACAGTGCCATAGGCTTTCACAGCATCTCCTCAATTCCTAAGTGAATTAGCCTACTAAAAACTGGTTTGAATCTACAATTTAGTTCACAAAAATGTTTCTTTCCAAATTCCTTAAAAGTAATGAATTCTGATTCTGAGGGAATGTTCATCTATCAAAAGGTTCAGCATTCACAGTGGTGATAAGTAAAATACGATTACCGATTTAGCTCCTTTACTTTTCTCTTCCTGTCTCTACAAGCCTTGGTGCCAATGGAAAAAGCCAATGTTTTTCAGAGTTGCAATCACTCTCTGCTGATCACATGTAATGTTTGAGTTCTTAGTCCTGCAGTCTCAGTTGCAGAGAACCCACTTTGGGTGTCACTTCTAGAGGAAACACTCCTTCAGTCCTCTTTTGAGAGATGGAAAGAAAGCAGACAGGGGAGAAACCAGTCTCCAGAGACAAGGAGTCTGCCTGAGAAATAACAAAAGGCAGAAAAGAAAGAACTCTGAACTTCCCCCTGCCACCTTTACTGCACTCACAGAGGAAGAAAGGCTTGAGAGTGCAGTGAATGGAGGTGGGAGGGTGCTAGAAGAAAAACCATCAACCATGATATTATTTCTTGCATGATGTCCAGTAACAGCAAGTGCTATACCACTGCCAAAGAGGAAGCACATCTAGCTTTTAGTGATCTGTCAGTGTCCCTGGGTTTCAGTACTCAACCAGCAAACATATAAAGGGAACGAGCTGCATTCTCTACATTGCATCTGTCTTCAGATAACAAAATAGCACTCATCTTACCTTTTGATTATCTCAACTTTACTCTTGTCAAGGATGATTTTCTTAAAGGTCTATAAATTGCATAATTAAATTCTGGCACCTAAATTACTAAAGTTTTCAGTGTCATTTATAGAACAGTTAGCATTTGCAGAGGATTTTAACACAGCACTGTATCTCCTTTAAAAGTCTAAGTCATACTCATTGAGTGGTGGATGCAAAATTCTTTTACAGGGCATAACCATTCCCATTTTCTTACTTTAAAGGACACAGACTTTTGCTTAGCATGGTGAGAATATCCAGTGTTTTATTATCCCTTTAGTAACAAATCACAAATGTCTACTATACCATACTTGTATAAAATGTATTATTCTGAAAACCACTGATAAATGCAGTTATTGCCATGCTTCATGCACTTTAGAAATTCCAAAGCCATGGATGCTGTCGGATAACTTTATAAGTAGTGACTTAAAATGCTGTTGCCGACTTCAGCAATGTAAAAAGAACCGCACCATATATTCTGTGGAAGGCAAAGCTATCAGAAGGAAAGTCTGTATGAAAAGGCTGAAAATGAATTATTTTCCTCTTAACACTCCCTGGTGTTTAGTCTGCTGCAAAAAGAATGCTTGTTAGCAGTGTGGAAAGCAGTGCCTTTGAATTAAAGGAAGCATTCAACTTGTTTTGTTTTTAAACCCCTGGCATCAATGTGTACAATCAACCTCGTGTCCCCAATTCAAAGGAATTTTTCAAACTTTTTCTACATTGTGTCTGAATCCTGAGCATCTAAATTTAACTCTACCTCCAGCAGAATTTTGCAGTGTGCAGAGAGCCAGTGGCTTTTAGCAAACAGGTGTGTGTATGTTACCTCGACCCCCAATTAGTTGATTTCTTTATCATGTTTACAAATAATGAAAGACCTGCTTTCATTTTCACTCACTATTTCCTTTTCTGTATCCAGAGGGCTAAATGGACAGTCAACTCATGTGTATGTATCAGAACACAGAAGACAGTAGAGACGTCAATCTTCCCCAAGCAATCAATAAAGAAACCCTAATTCCATTCAATTTGTAGAAGGAGTCCCTGTAGATACAAACATGGTAATGCTTAAATTTGTACAGAAACACACTTGAACTAGATGAGCAAAATCAATGTCCAAAAAGAAGCCTTAAGATGGAGTCACACTGCTGTATTGAAGCTGTACTAATCAGGACACTGCAGCATTATTCCAAGAAGGGAAACAAAGATCAATGGAGCAAAAGACACTGCTCAGAAGTCAGCCTGCACAAATATGGCAAATTGATTTTTGACAAAAATGACGAGTCAATTCAATAGTACATCAGTGGAAATGAACCATGATCAACATTTCACAGTTTGTACACACACACACACACACACACACACACACACACACACACACACACACACGAGAGAGAGGAGAGAGAGAGAGAGAGAGAGAGAGAGAGAGAGAGAGAGAGAGAGAGAGAGAGAGAGAGAATCACAATTCTAAATTAAAACATTAAACTATAAAGTCCAGGAAAAAAAGGAAACAGCAAAAAAATCTTTATTGTTTTTAAGCAGAACTTTCAAACACAACCAAAAACCAAGATCCAGAGAAGATAGAACTTTGTCAAATTATGTTAGTTTTGCTAATGACACTTGATGAGATTTAAAGACAGGTCACCGATTTGGGGAATACTTTTTAGTACTATATACTCTCAAAATTAAATGACAAGATAATAAAAAGTATTTGAACAATCCATTCATTATATTGTATTAGTGACCTACATGCACATGAAAAGGCACACACAATAATAGCAATAAGGAGTTTCAACTTAAGTTCAATTTAAGCATTACTACATAGCCCTTTATTAAACAAAATGGTTAACAGTAATTAAATATATTTTACACTCTTTTGGGGACGCAAAAATATATAGCTATTCTGGAGAAAAATGGCAATTTCTTATGAAGTAGAACATATTTTTTTAATTTCTAAAATGTTTATTTCTAGATTTCCCCTCAAAGATTAATATTATTGTCACAAATATTTGCATGTGGATATTTATAGAAACTTTTCTCCCAAACTGGAGTCAAGCTAGATATCATTAAGTAAATCAACAGCTAGATGCATGTAAAATGAAATAATTTTTATTTTTTATTACACTTATTTGTGTGTGTGTGTGTCTGTGTGTGTGTGTGTGTGTGTGTGTGTGTGTGTGCACATACATGGCCAAGTTTGTCTTTGTGTCGTGGGAAGGGGACAACCTGTCAGAGTCATTTCTCTCCTTTCCCCAATTGTATCCTAGGAACTCACATTTTAGACAGCATTTTTAGCTACTAAGCCAGTGTGCTATCCTGAAACACTTTTTAAATGCTAAATGAACTAATAATGCAATAAATTAGATTCAACTAAAAAAAAATAAAAGTACTTCCCCCAAATTGCAAACCATTTGATTCCATGTGTAAGATGTTACAATTATATATAGTATATAATTATAATGCAGATGAGGTCATTAGTTGTCAGGTGTTAAAGGTGAAGAGAAGTGGCCAGAATCAACAAGAGAAAATTAGCATGACACACAACTTGCTTGCTATACTGCTTTTTGCTTGGAGCTACAGATGCTTAAGAATTCATAGAACTATATGCCCCCGCAAACATTCATATTACAGTATACTAAGTAAAAAGAAAAAGCAAGTGATAATAGCTGAAGCATACCTAGCATGATCATCTGGATCTATTGTCTGCTGAGGCCATTTCTCTCTCCATAGTGAATGATTATACAATTGCACATTATTTGAGTAAACATTCTCAGTGCAGAGTAGTTCTGCTTTTGACATTTAAAAAGATGCTGAGTCAAAATGCTAAAATCTGTGAAGAGAGCCCATCTTCATTTGGACATGAAGATTGATCTAACAACATCCACAAATCAAACAGCTCTAAGATACTCACCTAAAGGTTCAGTAAAGGGGCAGGACCCATCTTAAACGGAAAATAGACAGGATTGAAACATGGAACACTGGGAGCCATCTTATGAAGGGACACATTCTCCAAGTGAATTATGCCTTGTAAAGTTGTCTCTACTTTTGGAGATAATTTAGTAGCATATGATTGCAAACATTTAAAGGATATTTAATGTAAATGTTTGAGGTATATTGCATATGCAGAATATTGTCAAAATAATTTTGCAACTTTGACAGTGGTATAAGGCTAATGCTGTCTAGTGTGCATGGCTGCATGTTTTCTACAAGAACATTTGTGCAGATTTCTTAGCTGGATGATAACATTTCTTAGTTAAGTGATAGAAATATATATTTATAAAAATATAAATCCTATTTATAAGATTGCAATGGAGGAAATAATAATAAAATAAAATTGGGATAAAATTATAAACTATTCTTGTATTCTGTAAAGTATTTGTAGGATTAGGAAAATAAAAACCCTGGTGTTTGATTGGAATTTGTAATCAATGTTTTAAAAATGGTGGAATACTAGTCTTGAGAAATGCCCTTGCAAAAAGAAGAGAGAATCACGTGAGCTTTGGGAAGCTGGGTTCTGTAGGAAGCTTTTCACCATCATCCACACCACTTAAGTAAATATTGCTGGGATGAAATCTCTGATCATTATAATCACACTTTGGTCATTAAATATAAAACAATATTGCCCATGCTTCGTTAGCCACAATAACCATATACTAACCAGAGTGAGTTAGCCTTTCCTATTAAGAGGATGATTTTGACAGCCAAGGCAGCGCAAACATTTCTGGGGACCTTTTGAGGGGACTTGATTGCCATGGATTGAAACTGTTAGTATTTTCTTGATGTCCTTAGACCTTGCTTTCTTGTTTACCAGATGGGAGGCCTGTGAACCTAAGTGTGTTCCTCAGATCAAAGGACAAGGTCATGTCACTAGTGCACATTTAGCTCACGTCATAAGTTGTATAAAAATATCTAGCCTTAAATCACCTATAAATAACAATACCTGAAATTAGAGAAAGAATTTCAAGGCTATAATGTAAAATGGAAAATAAAACTCATATTGAGCCCAAAATCAAATAATAAAAACAGTGCTAGAGGTGATATAATTTCTAGTACTTAGTAAGGATCATATAAAAATGTAAAGATTAAGAAATGTAAAGGCATAATGAAGCTAAGTCCCAACTTAAATTTTGGAATCTATCTTCTGTTACTTGCCTTAATTTCAACCCTGAAGGAGAAAAAGAGATATAAGAAGAATCTGTGGGGAAATTATAAAATAGATTTTTTTCAATTTAAAAAATACACTAGTTGTTATCTTGAAAGATGTCTCAGTAGTTAAGTAAAAGTTAAGTGAATTATCGCTCTTGCAGAGGACCCATATTTGGTTCCCAACTCCTACATAGGGGCTTATAACCATCTGTAACTCCAGTTTTACAGTATTAATTTGCTAATATATTTGATTGTCATGATTTCCCAATTAATGTACTTGAGGAATTTGTTTCACGCTGACAGAGAACTTTTACAATTGATGTTTGTTTGATGCTTTCTGAATTTCCATTTATTCTATTTTAGTAATATAAAATCTTTTCTCCCTGTATTTATGATCTACTTTATGTTCACATCTAAGGTGTATGAAAATGACATAGCATATTTTCTTTCATAAATAAATGTTACTCATTTCAGCCAACATGATTAAGTCTTACTGTATACTTTTTAAGGATTGCCCAGTTACTTGTTTCAAGTTAGGAGTTGTGCTTCATAATGCAATGAGGAGGAGCATATGTCAGAAGGTGGTATAACTTAGGAATAGCTTATTATTTATTGTTGCTGATACAAATACTTATGTGACCATGATTTCTTAATACCGTGAACTTTGATAAGTACCAGTAGAGAAATGAAGGCAAATCATCAAGAAAGATTTTTATATTCTGCAAAACTTAATCAACTTAAGTGTTCGATGCTTAGGAGTATTGATTTGTTCGTTTATCCCAAAAGTAAAGAATTTCCAAATGCTTATTGTCACAAAAAATAACCATACTAAAACAAAAAGAGAAAGCCACATTCAGTTTTATTTTAGTTCAGAATTGTTTTGTTATGAGAAAATATGGACTAACTCTCCAGAGAGCTAAAGATTTGTAAAGGTCTGAACTCATGTTTGTTCTCTTAGAAGATTTAAAACTTGAAGAGCCATCCCTGTACAAACCAGAACTCAATTTTTAAAGTATAGTCCTGTACATTAACTGGAAGAGATTCTCTATTTAAATTTAATGAATGAAGCTGATACTTCTGACTTTCTTTTACTTTTGTTTCTTTTATAGGAAAATAGTGTTATTTAATAGTCAGATAATGTTAAATGAATTTTCAGACACCCCTGAGCATAGATAATGAGAATTTTACGGTCTATATTAAACTTGTGTGTTTTGTAGAGTGAATTAGTTGTATGTTTGTAAAAAGCCAAATGGCGAGCCGGGCGGTGGTGGCGCACGCCTTTAATCCCAGCACTCGGGAGGCAGAGCCAGGCGGATCTCTGTGAGTTCGAGGCCAGCCTGGTCTCCAAAGCGAGTTCCAGGAAAGGCGCAAAGCTACACAGAGAAACCCTGTCTCGAAAAACCAAAAAAAAAAAAAAAAAAAAAAAAAAAGCCAAATGGCTACTCTGCTAATTACACAGAAACTAATACAATCTCTTGCTTTCCAAGTTACTTTAATTAAAAAGTAGACATTACGCCTAAACATTTGACACTTTGTTACTGATAAAATCGTAAGTTCTTACGTTTGCAGTTTTGAAAGCTCTGGGATCCTAAGCCATGCATTCTCTTTCTGATGTTTCTTTCACTCCCTCTCTCCTTTGCCTCCTTCATAGATAGTACTTTTGTTTCTCTTTTCCTCTTCTCTGTAGTTTAGCTTGTCCCTTCTGCTCTTCCTTTTTTCTTGTTCTTTCCCTCAACAAATCACTATTTCTCTACCTTCTTTTCATTCTTCTACCTTCCTCTGAACAGTTGTAGGTAGCAGTACTGATGTGTTGTGTTCACATGTATTAATTCATGCATTTATGGGCACACTTTATAATCTGTTATTCAAAGGGAGAATTTACTTTACTAACATGCATGAATTTTCAGAAACTGTCCTTAGGATGAGAGGAAAAAGTTTCCTCAGTCTTTATCCTATGTATCACCAAATATAAATCATACATAAGAAGTTTCACCTAATTAAAACCATTGGAGTCATAATATTCTTTATAGTATAGTATACACCAATATTTTCTAACTAACTTTCAATTTCACTTTACTCTCTTACTTTATTCTTAACATACTGAACTCTGTTATTCTGAAACCTTATGAGATAATTATGTTAGGCTTTTTTTCCTGGCAGTAATAATGAACTGGATACAGATTTTCTCCATCTTAATTGACTAATTATATTTTATAAAATTTGTAGTATTCCCACGTTTGTAGATACTATTAAAATTAGCCAACACATTTGTAAACATTGTGCCATCTCTTTAGTTTAGCCATATTCATTAAGACAAAGTTTTCCTTGAAGTTGTTAGTTTGTCATTATGGGAATAAAAAGAAGATGCCTCACTGAATCCAGATTCAGGTACATGATGACGAAAACTACAGGCCTCCAGCTGTTTGTTAAATAGAGTTACAGTGAAACATGTATCCACACAGTTCACCTAATTTTTCATGTAGCTTGATAAAGGTCACCATGTCTACAAAATAAGATGATTACAGATTAAGAAATTTATGAGTGTAATTTTATAATCTCAAACTTACAGGCAAGCAAATTTGTATAATATTTTCTTCAACCCTTTAAATTTTTTTCCAGTAGCACTTCCCAAAGAAAATAAATTCAATTAACACATAGAAAACAAAACAAAAACAAAAATAAAAAAAATCTACCCTCCCCTCATTTATAAAGAAAGCACACATCTCACTGCACTAAGCCTTACCTTGGTCCTCTGGTTTGATGGGTTGCATGCTTCGCATGTCTGATGCTTGTGTGCTGGATGGTCTTGTACTAACCCAGAGCTGCTCCAGCACATAATTGTGTGATATGAAGGAATGCAGAAAACAGGAGAAACATTGTCACTGAGTCAGCTGCACGAAGAAGTATCGTGTGTGAATGTACAGTACAGGGGAATCTATGAAAGATCCAGTCTATTTCTCCCAAAAGACTCTGTTCCAAGATACAAGGAGAATTCAGTTCTTGTTGGCAGACATCCATGTCAGTTTGAAAGCAGTAAAAACGACAAGACAGGCTTTTCAATGTCTTTACTCTTAATACTTAAATAACTTTAATTTTTTTTTAATTTCACTCTGTCTTAAAGACCCAGAAAGTGATATCCATTTCCAATGGATCGTTTGCATATAGTTTTTGTAGTTGGGATATAGTTAAGAATGAAATAAAAAATGAATTCAACCATTCATAAAATGTTTGTATCTGTTTCTAGTAAAATTTTGAGGAAAGGCCATCTATCTTTTAATGGAGTAGATGACTTTACATGATATTACATCAGGAAGGGCATAGAATCCCAGCAGATGATGCAATTATGTATAAAAATGAGAGTTATTAAATAATGCACACTTTTAATATAGAGAAATTAGGTCATTTTCCCACTCCTCCCACAAATATTCAATCTTAATATCTACGTAATGAAACAACACAGATAGTGTTATCCATCCTGGTACTAATGGATAATGCCAGTTATGACAAGTTCATTGTTTACTTTAACAGGTAATTTGTGGACCGGAATCATTTAATTGTTCTGAGAACATAATTACATGTCAGCAATTTCCAATTTAATTAAAATGTACAAATCTGAAGATTAAGGGAATTTTTGAATTATTAATCATTTTTCCACTAGGAAATCTTGTTGCTCTGCAGGAGATTTGTCCAGTGTACAACTATACGTATTTTTTTCCTTCTCGTTCACAGACAGACAATTTTCCCGCAGAGCCCAATTACATGGGCAGCAGGCAGCAGTTTGTTCAAAGGTAAGGCCTATTAAATAACTTTCTCGGCTTCCCCATTTGCATTTGTGACAAAATTGCTTTGCAAGAGACTACACTCCAGGTTTAAACTGGTCGAGACAACACTTTCTCCTCTTTTTCTTTATATGTATTTCAGTAGCTCCACGTTTAAGGACCCAGAAAGAGCCAGCCTGAGAGACAGTGGGCACGGGGACAGTGATCAGGCTGACAGTGACCAAGACACTAACAAAGGCTCCTGCTGTGACATGTCTGTTAGGGAGGCACTCAAGATGAAAACTACTTCAACTAAAAGTCAACCACTTGAACAAGGTGAGTGATGTCTTCCAGTGCTTACCAAGTGTAAAGCTTAAGTCATCTGCATAAGCTTATCAGGACTAGCAATGCTGTTTGTCACAGTGAACTAGACTGTTGATAATATGAGAAAATGTGAAGCTCACAGTAATTCTCAACAACAAAGCTTTTCCTTATCACAACCACAATGGATAACTGCCCTTGGAGGTTCTTAAAATGGGAACTTGACTCTACACACTAGGTTCTGATTTTATGGATGTTTCCTAACCGGGCCTAATTTGGGTTTGACTAACAAGGAAAATTTGACATGCACCAGCTTAATATTTATGAACATTGTGCTATCATTTATATTATTCAAATTGGAAAGCAATTTTAGATGAAAAAACTTGATACAGATTTTATATTTCTTATCCATGTTGTTTATTTTTAGCTTTGATTATAGTTTCAAAATAGATTTTTTTAGGAATGCAATAATAGCTGAGAGATTCGGCTGCTCTGGATTTACATCTATATGTTCTCATAGATATCAAATTAATATAAACTTGTTTACACTGATATAGATAAAAAAGAAATACAAGATATTGTGTATGGATTACCCTTCTAAAAGATTATCTTAGGTACATTTGGTATAACTTCATATTATTTTGATGTTTTAGTTGTTTCTGTTACTATGAGACATTTGTTAATGATTCCTTCACAGTCAACTAAGATGCTATCCTATGTAAGACAATGAAGAGATTTTAATTCTGTTCTATGTACCATGAAAAGAATTGTCACATGAATCAAATTTTGCAAATAAAGTTACCCTAATTAGATTATATGAACATTAGTCTTCAGGATATTAACAGTATTTATGTTTAAGACATACTATTGTAGACTCCTTCTAGTGAGAGACCATACTTAAACTAAGGGCACGTAGCTTCTATTAGTGATGATTCTTGCAAGATAAGTTTTTGTCTGCATTGCAGTACTATTTTAGGGATTTTCAAATCATAGTGAAACTTCACTATAAACATGTACTTGCCTACATGTCAAAATGCCTATGCCTACATATACAAAAGTAAATGTATATTCAATATAGAACAATAAATATTTGTTCACTCCAAAAATTTTATTGGATTTAAGGATGCTCTCACATAAATACCTGTTTAAATAATAAGGTTTAGATGAATGGCTATTTCTATATATTTACCATAATAGCATCCTGGGTGGTGAAACAACTGTTTTAAAACTTATTCTTAACAGAAGCAAATGGAATATTTCTTTAGTATGCATGATTCCTTTAGCTTTGGATGACTACTTGAAGAGACTTAAATGGTCATGTTTGGAGTGTGACATTATAATTTATATAAACATTTTAGGCACATTTTACTTCTGGATCTTATTATATGAATACACAGCACAAAACTGGCCCATTTGGGTGTGTGATAAATAAGAAGAATAAGAGATAACACTGTGAATATAGTTTATACTACAATATACAGTAAATGAAGTTTGTATATGTTGTGACATCTTTGCAGGACATTTTTAAATAATAAGCATAGCAAAAAATCCATTAGCCACTGCAAAAATTAACTCCGATTCTTTTATATACATTAAATCATTACAGTAGTGTATTTGGTATATTTTCTCCTGTAGAAAAAAATGTCTAGCTAATTATTCCTCAAAATATAAATTATAATAAAATACTATGTCTTCAAGTTCTATATTAAAAGATAATGTCTTAGGAAAGTGACTATCATTCTTAAAAGAAGGTCCAATTAATCACATATTTGAATTACTATTACTCATGAAATAATTGCTAATACAAGAATGAGGTTGTCAATAGTAATGTCTCTTGCAAAGTAAATCATTTGCAAACATTGCTGTGAAATATACAGAAAGGTTCTTATAAAATTGAAAAGTAGACTTAGGAGATCTATGATTTAGGCAGGAGACCTTCTGTTTTTAAAAATAATAAGCTTACCTGTAATATTCCCTAAATTTACGGATCTATTCATTTCTTTTATTCATTACTTTAGTAAGTATCTATTTTAATATGTAAGTAAGGAATGATGAAAGTTTAGAAACTTCATAATAAATGGCCCTAAATGTTGCCTTCAAATAATCATATATAACTAGTATAGTTGAGATCTCTTTCCTTTTCTCATCTCTCTCAGTTCAATCTACCTTACCTGTCTGTTTGTCTTTCTTATGTATATGTATTTTTGTTTTTCTTCCCGGCTATCTAGATTCAGAGAACAGAATTAGAGTTTATTATGTTCTTACTACTATGTATAAACAACGGAAAATTTGTTACATTAACCAATTTAACCTGAAATATCTAAA